CGTCCGTTAATGACCGGTCATATGCGCATGCACATATGACCGGTCATATGTGCGTCTGCATTTGCCTCGTCATTTGCACGTGTGAATACAGCGCGTGGATTGCGCCTGTGCGTACTAATGGTCAGGGGCAGTAATGTTTATGGCCGGTCATATGGAGTTTCATATATCTTCAAGTCATGGCAATTCGTTGCTCTTTTTCTCCTAGTAGTAAAGTGCATGCAACGTACCACATTCCCTAACATTCATATGCAGTAGTTAATATTCAGCAATCAAACTATCACCGTACCACTAGCTTGCTACGTGATACACACCTGACCCCCCATATTTCCCCTTACATTTCTTCCGGGTATGCTCCGTCGAGCCACAGTCACCGCACTTGTATCTCCGTTTAGGGGCTTCACGCCTTCGGTTTGATTGTGGCCGCCCTGCTCCTCTCTGCACAAAAATAGGAGGATCACAAACTCCCTCCTCAACTGGCTCGTTTTCAGCAATAACCGTGTCTACACACAAATACGGAATGAGAGACCCATAAGTCTTTTTCCAGTTGTCGGCCTTCCAATACCTGGAAATAAAGGGTATAGGATCCATTCCCCTCTCGCGTAAGTGTGCAAATGCATGTGAGCATGGGAACCGATACTCCTGCCAGTTTTTGCATTCGCACGATCTCTCTCCGACATCATTGTTGAAGGATAGAGGACGTGGATCCAGCAGGGAGCCCTTGTTTCGAACCTCTGCATTGCTTGGACCATTGCGTGTGACCCTGTAGCCACGGCTTCGGTTCTTTTTCAGCTCAAACCGCTTCTCACCCTCGACCGTCAACGTATGCTGCCAGTTTAAAGATCTACGCTGTCCATCCGAGTAGATATGTGCCATCCAGTCCCACATGCCAGCCATTACGTACGTCACGGGCAGAATACGGATCTTCTTGATAGCGTTGTTTATGGACTCCACCATTTGGCTGCTGTAGATACCAAAGCGACACGTGGGGGCATAACACCGTGCCCATTGCTTGATGAAGACTGTAATCTTCTTTTTCCTCTTGTACCTGGGGCCATCCTGTCCCGTGCGAACGATTATACCTGCACCTTCCTCCATCTGGTCCCCAGCCCCTTGCTGAGCATCCGCATTGCCCAATCCACCCAACCCCGTCTCAGGACCGCCGGTTACGTCCGCACTTCGTCCTGCTTCGTTCCGTCGACCCATGGGGGGGGGAACACGGTGCTGAAGTGTTGGATGACGTTGTGTTTGGCTCTCTTGCGTTGGCAAATGAGGGTCGGTTGTTGCCCTGTTGTCGAAGACACTGGTCCTTCCAACCCTTGCATCCCGTTTCCCTCTAAGGATCTCCTTCCGCCTTTGCCGCATCTTGGCCGCTTGTTGCGCAGCTGCGTTGGATAGCGTTGGATCAGTCAGCGTAGTGGTGGGATGTGAGCAGTGGCCATTATCTGTACTGTCCTCATCCCCGGAATCCTCCCCGCAGCTGATCTGACTCCCGTCCTCCACCTCGAACTGGTCATTGAACACTTCTGGTGTGGCATCTGTTTCCGGTTGAATATCGTCCAAAGGTGCCGGCTCGTGTCCTTGGTTATCGCCTGCAAACGAAGGGAGCACAGATGTTGGTGTGGTCTCTTGAGCCGATGAATCAACAATGTCGGCAGCCAGCGAATGGGGCATGGAGGGAAAGGTGTGGTTAGCGGTATCATCAGCCGCCATTGTTTGCTGCTGCTCTCCCCTGCTTTGACATCGTCTTTGCCGCCGCAACTCTATCCTCGCCTTTCTTGCCTGTTTTGCGGCACTATTCATGCTCCTTAACTCATCTCCTGACTCTGGCACGCTAGCTCGTCGGTTGGTTTTGCGTCGGCCACCGGTCTGTTGCGCACGACCTTCTTCAACCCCGAAAAGATAGTTAGCCATTGCGGCGCACTGCTGCCGGCATCTCCTCACGAGTTTCCCAAACTTCGCCTTGGTGCGGCAGTTGGCGAGCTTCTTGAAGAGGTCCGAGGCGTTGGGCCCAAACTTTAGCACATTTTGCTCCAAATGCCAGCTGCAGAAGTAGTGGGGAAGCTGCAATGGGAACACTTCTTTAACAGCAGGAATCAACCCCTTGTCACGGTCACTAATAAGGGAGGCATTCTGTGTGGTTGGCCAAGATGGAATATGCTTCAACAAGTTCTCACAAAACCACTTCCAACTATCCTTATTCTCACTCTCGCATAGGCCGTACACAAGTGGAACAAGCTGGTTATTGCCATCCTTAGCAGCTGCAACCAAGAGCGTAGCACGCTGTGCCCGAATGAGAAACGTGCCATCCATACCAATGACCGGTCGACAGAACCTTAGGGCAGTTTTTGATGCCGATGGGGCGGCAAAAGCACGGAAGAAAGCGTGATCCTTTGTCACAAGGTCGAGCGTTGCTTCAGGGTCAATCGCCCTGAAGCGTTCCAACAGGCGAGGGATGTAACGAAACGATGTTTTCCAATCTCCAAACCGCTCCTTCAACATCTTTTCCCTGAGCCTGCGATGATTGGTGATAACGTGCAAGACAATATAGGCATGTAGCACGAACATGAGAGACATCGTGTGGGTAATCATGAACATTTCTTTATGGTACACGGATGAGATGGAAGGTTGGGAACCACAATAGAATGCTATAATACTTACCTCCAAGATTGATGATAACTGATGTCAGGACCGCCGGTCGACGCAATCTGATCCTTGTAAGTCCCGGGAGGGTGATGTGGAGCGGCGTGGACAAGGTTCCCATGATGACGCTGTAGATATGGTACTTTATTTGTAGTGTGGTTGACGTAGCGGTCCCGATCAACGGGTGAGCAACAATGAGATGTTGGGGCGGACAGTTTATTAACACGCCAAAACCCACCCGCTCCGTCAGTTGAGTACTCACACCGCCACTTGCAAGCTGGTTTACGTCGCTCATGGTGACTCATGCATATAGCGTTGGCTCTGTTTGGCCTACTCTTTGAAACCCTAAAACCGAAGTTGTGGGCTACCGAATAATCTTCCAACGCCTCGTACAGAAATTTCTTCGAGGAGTACAGTTGACCTTCACACAACGGGGCTCGATCGTTGGTGGCGAATGGTGGCGAGGGTTATCTTCATCCGTCATATTTCGGAGCAATGCACGGTACATATCACTCTGCTTGGGCTCTCCAGTGCCAACAAAACAAAACTCCGTATCTTCGTCGCCTGAGTCGTACTCTGTGTTAGTACTATTAGATGACGAACCCATTGCGGCTAGTAGAAACGTTCCAACTGAATTACCTCCTAGAAGAGATACGGGAACAAAGTAGGATGTCAACCCTAAAACGACGAGAGAATAGGGTGTGTGAGGTGTGTTGCATCACTTAAAAAAAAAAAAGCGCGGGATATTGACTTAGCGTTTCAATTTGACTCTTATTGGCCAGAGGTTTTGTTTCGGCGTGTGTACCCTTTGTAGCATTGGTGAGTTTAAACATATATTCCATTTCCAGTAGCGCGATCTCATATGGGCGTGACCCTATATGAGCGCGCCTGATTGGACGCGGAAGATCAGAAAAGGGCCCGCGCATAGAGTCGACCAATCACACGCGCTCTGTAATTGGTCGCGCGTCTGGACAGTCGTGCAATTGAGTATATGATCGGGGATTCATATCTCTATGCGCGGATTGGTCAATCATTGGACCGAAAATGAGCGCGACTGTTCGCCGAACATGATCGTGTTGATTATTGTCGTGTATTCGAACGATGACGTGGCCGCTCTCGTGCACGTCACCCAGCCGAAAAAATCGGGCGGAAAAACACACGCCACGTTTTTGCGGGAAGAGTTACGAACGACGTGAGAAAAGCAGGGCTAAAAGCCGGTTTTGGGTAATGTGCCGGATAAAAAAAAAGCCAGAGGAAACCTCTGGCAAGACCACTCGAGCAATTATCATCAAATTGTCCGACTACGGTAGCAAATTGAGCCTACGTGTGCAACGGCAAATCACCGTTTCCGGGTCTGGAGAAAATCTCTCATTCTGTGTTCTCGAAGAATCCACTTTCATTTGTTGAACACAGCTCACTCCGGGCGTGTTCAGAGAGGAATGGGAACGGACACGCTTCTTGAACACACACAGTAACCCGCGTGGTGAGGCTCGAACTGATTTTGCGACAAACTGTGCTGTATTTGCGACGAATGGCTGTATTTGCGACGAGCTCAAACTGACAAATCTCAAATGACCTAGTTCGCCCGAACGAAGAACAAGCAGCATTTTGGCCCTGTTCTGTAGGCGTTAATTTGGCAAAAATCGAGCAGCGCGGAATCTTCTGTAATAGGCAGAAATTATGTTATCAAGGTTCAGGATAGCCGAATCTTCCCGAGCCTGGCCGAATCACGTTAAACGCGAATGCCAACAGAACACCACTTGTTGGTCCGCACCACGTCAACCGCACGAGGCTTCCTGCACGCTTCCTCACCAGGCAAATGTCCGCGCAAGTTTAACCCAGCCAAATCATCCTCGGGAGCTGGCGTCAGCCTCCCCACAAGTTATGCGGGGCAGCAACATCCACGCAATTCAGCCAGTACGAATGCGCCTAAAAAATACTTGGAAGTTTACCGCGGTCAAATTGGTGCCGAACCCTAAACTCCTGCAGAACAACGCCTTCGTGTTCCAGACTGCCCAAACGAAACGAGGCAGTACAGATCGTGTTCCATTCCTCACGTCGGGTCAATCAGAATAGCGTCGGTTCCTTATGAAGCAATACAATACGGTGCTTTCTGGTTTGGAAACCATGTTGGTATTTACAATCCCTGACGCATTCTACGTTCTCGTGTGCCAAGCCAAACAAGCTTATCAGGTGCTCAAGGCGCATGGTTCGTTTTGCCTCCCCTAATCCCCCGCTCCCTCCGTCTATGGTCACTTTTTCTTGAAAAGGCTAAATAGCTGAAACCTTGTGATTAAACCACAGCCGACTGTTTCTGCCGTCCTTGCGCAAAAGAGGGAGAAACTAGCAGTCAATCCATAATGGCGGCATTTCCACCGCAAAATCCGCCGGGGCCTCCGCAACCGGCCGTGCCGTCATTAGATCTCACGGGCCTATGTTTTCGCGACCAAATATTTCTAAATTTCGTTGGCGGATGCCTCGTGCCGGGTAACGTGTTTGACTATTTCGCTAACTCGCCGTTCTACGATCGCACGTGCAACAATGAGCAGCTGAGGATGCAGGGCATTCATCCTCTTGACACAGCGCGCCTCAGGTAGGTGTTGTCTCAGTTAAGCATTTGTGCTAGGTCATGTTCGTGCGTCAAAATCCTTGCCTCTGGTGCATCTGCGTTTCCGTTGTGGAGAGCTCATTTGGTTCTGACTCTCCAGCCATTTTGCCTTTGAAAGGAGAGTCCGCTTTCTAGGCAACTCTAGATATAAACTACGTCCACACCACAGCAACTCAAACATGGGAACTGCACACAAGTCTTCCTCCTATGGGGCTTCATGTTCTGAGCTGTCTCATGTTATGGCGCTTACTCCTACGCAGGCGCATACTCCTATGCTGGTTCTTACTCCTATGCTGGCCCATATTCTTATGCTTTTTCTTACTCCTACGCTGGTGTTTACCCCGACCATCATCTTACCCCTATGGTGGCACTTTATTTCCTCCCCCCCTTCCCCCCTCTCACCCCCACCCCCACCCCACCCCTCTCACCCTTCTCTTCCCTTCTCTTTTCCAGCATCCTGGAAGAGGGTGTGATTGTTTGCTGCACATGGAGCAGATTTGAGACGTATTACAAACCGTTTCCTCCTTGTTCTCTTGTCCAGGGTGTTGGGGTGGAAGTTCTCGCTTCACATGGCCACAGAAGCACTTTGACTCCTCCACGTGTTGAGACGTCTCACCACTTGTTTCTTCCCCGTCCCCTCGTCTAGGCATATGGTGGGTTGGGATGGGTGGAAGTACTCGCTGCACATGGCTGGCGCAAAAGCTGCTTCGAATCATCCTTGCTTAGAAACGTCTCACAACAAACCGTTTCTTCCCTTTCCCCTCAAATAGGGAGGTGAAGTGGGAGTGTTTGCTGCAAATGGCTGGCGTAGGAGCCGCTTCCAATTCTCCTTGTTTGAAAATGTCTCACAAGAACCCGTTTCTTCCCTCTCCCCTCGTCCAGGGAGATGGTGGGATGGGAATATTCGCTGCACATGGCGCAGGAGCCTCATCTGTTCGTGTTGCGGAAGCAGAAAAGGGACGGTCCAGATCGCACCACGCCCGTGGCTGCATACTACATCCTGGATGGGTCCATCTACCAGGCCCCTTCACTGCATGCCGTTATTGGTTCTCGGATCGTGAGTCACTCTGTCAGTCTAACAGTCAGTCGGGCATTCAGTCAGTCAGTCAGTCAGTCAGTCAGTCAGTCAGTCAGTCAGTCAGTCAGTCAGTCTGTCAGTCAGTCAGTCAGTCAGTCAGTCAGTCAGTCAGTCAGTCAGTCAGTCAGTCAGTCTGTTTGCCTGTCTGTCTGTCTGTCTGTCTGTCAGGCCGTGTCAGGCCATGCCATGTGCTTCTGTGTGGTGAGGCGTGTCTACTCTAGACCATGCCGTGCCACTGGTAGCCTACCCCATGCTGCTGAGCCGCTGCTAACCATGCTCTCACTGCCTCTCATTTCGCTATGACGCTGCTGGCCATGCTCTCACTGCCTCTCATTTCGCTATGACGCTGCTGGCCATGCTCTCACTGCCTCTCATTTCACTGTGACGCTGCTGGCCATGCTCTCACTGCCTCTCATTTCGCTATGACGCTGCTGGCCATGCTCTCACTGCCTCTCATTTCGCTATGACGCTGCTGGCCATGCTCTCACTGCCTCTCATTTCGCTATGACGCTGCTGGCCATGCTCTCACTGCCTCTCATTTCGCTATGACGCCGCATGGCCATGCTCTCACTGCCTCTCATTTCACAAAGATGCTGCTAGGCATGCCCTCGCTTCCCACCTGTGCTGTTACCTTCCTCCAATTCTCTCGTTTCCTTCTTCCTCCTCACCTGTCTATCAATTCCTTTGTTGCAGTTCTTATTTCGCCCCTCCGCTCCTCTTCTCTTTTCATCCCCGACGCTTTCAATTTCAATCCAGTCCCAATTCTCAATCTCATGCCTTGTCCTCATTCCTCCCTCTTCCCCCTCCCCCCTCATCCCTCCTCCCCTCCCCCAGTGCCGTGCCCTGCATCATCTCCGGGCAGCCTTTTCTATGACCCGGGCGGCTCTCGACAATCCCGAAGCTGCCCGGCCAAAAGAAGGTATGGGGCACGGTGGGAACGATGGGTTTCTGCAGAGATCATAGCTACTACAAGGAACAACAGGGTTGTTCCATCCTCTTCCCACCTTCCTCACTTCTCATGTCACCCCAGCAGAGCGGTCAGAGTCGGAAGGGGCGTCAGTTGAAGCCCCTGACACGCCAGCAGCATCAGAGGCAAAGCCAACCGCAGCAGACGTGAGGGAGATGGCACGACTGGACCACGTGATTATGAACGTTGTCAGGAAGCTCACCCCAGCTCCACCTCCCCCAGATATCGCCTTGCCGGCACTGCCACAACCAGCAGCAGCAGGTGAAGCAGCAACGGCAGAGGACAAGACGGGAGGGGCAGGTACCGCTGCTGCTAGTGCTGCTGCTGCTGGTGCTGCTGCTAGTGCTGGAGGTGGTGCTGCTTCTGCTGTTGCCCCTGCAACTGGTGCTGGGGCGGCTTCAGGGGCTGGGAAGAAAGCAGGGGCAGGTAAAGCGTCAACAGCAAGGAAGGCAGGGACAGCAAAGGCAAGAGCTGGGTCAGGTGCTAAGGCTGGTGCTGCATTGAAGAGTGGTGGCGCTTCTGCCGGTGCTGGTGCTGGTGGTGTTGGTGCCAGTGGTGGTGGTGGTGCTGTTGCTGCTAGTGGAGGAGGGACCAAGACAACAAAAGCAGTGAATCTGAAGCCCACACAAGAAGGGGAAGTACGGAAAGTGAAGAAGGCCAGAAAGGCTTAGGATATGTTCCGCTGTTGTGGTTTTAGTTGGCTGGGTGATATGTGGTGTATACAATGCCTTTCAACAAGTACACCACAGGAGCATGTCAGAGGATTATAGCAGGTTCCAGTATTTTTCTCAAAGCATCAAGCAAGGTGATGAATCAATATGAGAGGGCATTTTCCACAAGCCAGTGCATCTCTCGATGCATAGGTATATATTTACAATGCATAGCAGGGTACAGGCATTGGCCCTGCAATCCCACCCGTCTTGCACTGTCAGTGTTCCCCCATGACTCATGCAGATATCAAGCTACAGCATCTGGGAACAAACACCTTCAGGCAGCCCGTCTCCATATTTCTGCAAAAATCCCACACTTTTTTCTCCCCGCCCCCCTCTTTTCCCCCCTGTTTCTCCCCATTTCCCCCCTTCCTCCCCCCTTTCCTTCCCCTTCCCCCATCCCCTTTTTCCCCTTCACGACCTCACTTTCCCCTACTTCCGCTTTATCAACTCACTTTGTACAATTTCCGACCAGCAAATGCCCAACCTGTGTAGGGCTCGTAACGTAACTCGCTTTTTGCCCCAGCCAACCATGTTCCCACAGGTCCCCCGCCCCGCCCACCCCATCTTCTTGCGTAAAAGGTTGAATGTAAACGTAGTGAATGTGAACGGAGTATCGTGTCCCTTGACCTGCCCGCCGTTTGTTTAATCTCCTCTCCGCAGTTTATTCCTGCATCATTAAATGCCGCGCGCCGAAAAAAGTGGCGGCGAGCAGCACGGCCACGATTCCCGCCACCACCAGGGTCGCGGCGGTGTAGCTTCCGCGTTCGCCGGGCTGCTTCCAGAGCGTGTCGTGCGCGTGGCGTGCCTTGCGGTGATCGTGCCCCTCGTGCCGCCCCATAACGCGCCGACGCTCGGCCGACGGTGGCATGTGACGGACCTCTGAACACGCGGGAAGAAGGGTACAAGGAAAGAAAAGTGAATGACAGGAGTTTGAATTGGGTGTGAGAGCGGAGGAGTGGAGAAGAGAGGTTACTGCGAAAACGGAAGGCTGAAAACGCTGCATAATGGAAACGAAATCATGTGCAGCATGCGAGAGCTCGAGGTAGACACCTGTTTTTGCCATTTTCCCGACACTGGAGTCGTGAGAGTGTGTTAATCCCACGAAGCGTGAACCTGTCTTCGTCATACAAAAAGGGATAGAGCAGATGGACTAATCGTACAGGTCGGAAACCAATGGAGGTTTTTCTCTAGTCACGACGAATGACAAACGATTGCTGTGCTCACATGCAAGAACAGAGACAGTTCACGCGCATTTCTACACGAATTTTGGAGCTGGAAGTCTGGCATGCCCTCTTGACATGAATCCGTGGAGTGGAACCCTTCTCTCATGTTGAAGGTGACGACATGTCAGATAAGAATCTGAGGACGTCTATGTTATTCGGGCAGTCTATTATGTCTCATTCCCCAATTTTACACAAAACAATTTGAGAGAGGTTCAGACTGCTTCCAGTTTGTGTTTGCGTGGAAGTGGGCAAAAATGATGCCTATGTAAACCGCCAAACTCACACCCTACATTTGCTCTTCAAATATGGGGCGTGTGTCCTGTTTTACCATACCTTTCCATTCCATAAAGCCAGAACAGCACCATGTTTGCCTCCTCTGTTGCTGGACAATCCAGCAAGGCCAGAAAGTGCGGAAGCCCAATGACGGAAAATCAGGCGATGCAGGTTACCATGGCGACGATAAGCCGTGTCAGCTTTTGCGAAACTGCGCCCCAGCCAACATCGATTTGCTGTGCTGACTTGGTGGGACGCCACGTCACAGAAGAACTTGTGTGCGTGACATATCCTTTCTAAACAATTAGTCCTTGCGACACACGAAACTCGTTCGTTTTCCAGAGGCCTTCAGAGTAGTTGTGAGGCTGCCTTTATCGAGTGTCTTCTTTTCCCGCGTGCGCTCTTCTGCTTTGTCAGTGGAGCGGCGTCATTTTGATGTCACTAGCAATTGGTATTGGCATCATCCAGCCACGGGATGGACTAGAGAGTAGTTGCGAGCCGCAAGGGAAGCTGGGAAATGGCGAAACGCTGGCGGCGAGCGCATCGACCTGCTGGTGACCTTATTTCAGCATTCACCAGATTCATCATTTGGAAAGATGTGCGGTCCGTCGCCTGGACGAGACCGTCAGGGAGAACTCTTCTGGGATTCGGGTGTCGGGGATAAATGCGTCAGATAACCACACCTCAAGAATCCAAAATCTTTAGCACGCTTGAGACGCTTGTTAGAAGCGCGTTCCTTAAGGCGTCTAGATGGAGCTAAGCAGGCAATCTGGGTCAGGCCCGCTGCCGATACGTTGCATCAACCATGTTTCCATCAAGTGCGCCTCAGTGCAGAAGTCTCTCGACTTTTATTCGCGCGTTTTAGGCTTTCAGCCTGTGAAGCGTCCCGAGAAGTCTCTTAGCTTCGACGGTGCATGGTAAGAAATAAGGGAAAAAAGTTAGGCCTCTACGTAAAAGTCTCGTTCGTTTTTCTGTCAAACTTGTTCACTGACGGCCGTCCTTGGCAGGTTGTTTAACTATGGAATCGGACTTCACCTCCTAGGCGACAGCGTTTGCCCTCCGATGCCACGAACCCTCACCCCTCGAGATAATCACATCGCGTTTCAGGCAAGTTACAGGATCGGTTCTTTAGAACGTTCAACCGAGATTCTAGCCTTTTCCTCAACAATCTAATCGTCGACATATTTTCTTACGCCTTTTTTGTCTTTTGCAGTCAGACAATCTTTTTGAAGTCGAGAGGAAGCTAAGCGCCTTCGCGATCTCGTTCGTGAAGCAGCAGGTGGTGGAGGACGGGATAGTGGTTGATCAGATATTTTTTTTCGACCCTGACAACTACATGATTGAGATCTGCAACTGCGACCTCCTTCCCATCATACCAATTGACCCTTGCGAGCAGTCCACGTCAGCTTCGCCTTCTCAACAGCTACATGAAGATTTACCAATAAGGGTTTCAGGTACCCCGCCTAGAAGACTATCTGCTGGCTGTCTTCCTGAGAGCGCCATTGCTGCTGGAATACCAAGCCGATCTGGGATCCTTGTGCAATCTGGAACCACGCAACTCTTTGTATAGTCCAGTGGTGCTGGTTTATACGGTAATAAGGCTTGTCAGTTCAAACAAAGTGCCAGATCCAGTTCGAACAGAACTGCACAGCTTGTGGCTTCAAGAACGAGTCACCGCAAGAGCGCAAGGAAACTCCAGGGAGTGATTGAGCAAGCAGTTCTGCCCGATGCATTGGCATAGGGTAGCAACCTGCTGAAGAAATATATTGTACGTACGACCATTTTGCATGGTATGCAAAATAAAGCACCGGGGAAGATTCAATCGATGGATGCTCCCTTTTCTGGCAAAGCACATTATCTGGGAAGGCGCACCACACAACCACTTTATAAATAGAAAAGTACAGCGACATGGCATCAGTGTTGTTTGGCATCAGTGTTGTTTAACTACTTGCTCTCTTTCTTTCATGCATTGTAAGACCATTTTATCCAAATGGACCAATGTAAACTGGTAAAACTCCTATTTTCTTTCAGATACACGTCAAAGCCGTCAAATAACACTCGAAAAGCAGAACGGCCGCAAAACTCCACGGTCACAACTTCGGCTCGGCAGTGTGATGGTTCAGCCTGTGTTCATTGGTTGGTTTTGAGGCCTGTGTTCAGCCTGTATCCAAACCAAAGTTTCAAATCTGAACTGGCCCTGCTACTGTTGAACTGTACAGTTCCTGATGAGACTGCACACCAAATCATCTGTCGACGACGTACAAATAATGCTCGTTTGGCACATCCAGCTTTGTCTTGTGCTCTGAGCTTATAATGGTGTTATCCGTTGCTTATAGAAAGCGATTGTAACTCACCGTTGACTTTTTGACTTCAGTAAACATCCGTCTCTGTGGTTAGTATTGGTTCATTTTACTGCAACCTGCTCGAGAGACTTGTAAATGAGGTGCAACTTCACGGCACAAAACACACGGGTGCAAGGTTTCTATCCGCTGCAGGGCAAATTCGCGTGCAGGGGGTGAGCATCATTTGTACATGTCCTTACAGCAGATTGGTCAACGCATGTTCCACGCCCTAAAACGTATGGAATGCCGACTATTCCGTTTTTACAAAACACTGTATCTTTTTCAATATGTAAGAGCGTATTGCACCAGGGTTGACTTTTGCCAAAGTTCTAACTTGTGGAGAGGTCATAAACGGTACAGTACTTTGATTTTTTTTTTACCACGGTATGAAGCGGTGCTAGTTTGAACTTTGAGCACTGTGTTAATCTCAGCGCGCCCTAAAGACCCCTGAAAAGACGTGGGCACCCAGACCAAAACAACCTATCCCGAACCACCCCAGTGCAGTGACGTTCGAGCCTGAGGTGAGAGATGCATCCCATACCAACCTATATCCCAAATCATCTCAGCGCAGCAACATTCAAATTGGCCCAAAGCGAAGTGCTGGAAGCTTTCATCCACAATCTGGATAAACGCCCTGACCGGATTAAATATCAAGCTGTAATGTGACTGGGTTTGAATGCAGGAGCGATCTCGTTTTTTGGGAACAAACACATGGTAGAACGCATGAATGTACGTTGATACGGGCTGATCCGCCTTCAGAACGCAGCCAGTACCAGACAAACAGAAATTCTGAAAATGTTTTCCACCAACGAGCCACCAAGTATGTTTGGATACCGTACCCAGTTTTTTGTTTCTATGAAAAGGGTCATATAATCTAGGCACCTGGGAGTCGGGCGGAGCGCAAAGAGGAGACGCAGACACGTAGCAGAGCCGAAGGTAAGGTGGATAGGGTAGTGAATGGCGAGGCGAAACACGAGGGCCCTGCTCGGTAGCCTTCCAGTCACACTGGGCCCAATCGAACTGGGGAAGCCTACGACATGTTTCGTAGCCTCGGGCATCCACTCACACTGAAAGGAGGTCTCGTTCCCAAACGTAAGAAGTTACCGTGCGCTTCTTGGGAAATTACTTGCCGAAACTTTTACCGCTGTACGAGGCTGCCCCACCCACAAACAAAAATTCAGTCCGCGAAATGATAACCGTCGATATGGATAATGATACTCAGGAACGGGCAAGATCTCTCATCGTTTGAAAGAGCGTGCTAAAAAACCTTAATTTGACCCGATTCGAAATGAGTGCAGCGTATAACCTCCAGCCTGCCACTCTGAGCGGGCCTGCCTGGGCTGAACTGGAAAGCTGAAATGGGAGGGACTTTCACTGACTGTCGAGTTGCCTGGGCGCGACAGTTTCGTGGTAGTGTCCTAGCACGCAGTTGAAGTGGGTTTTTTATGCGTTCGGTAGCCCAGTTGCACTGGACAGGCTCGGTGTTCTAATAACGGTTTGTTGGGTTTTAATCAAATTGAAATTAGGAAACAGAAGATCCCACGCACCAACCGCATTTTGACTGGGAGGGCTACCGAACAGGGCCGAGAAGCCAATGAAAGGAAGGACGGGGTGAGTGTGAGCCATGAAATAGGCGCAGCTTCCCTACGGCGAGAACCGCCCACAAAACTGTTCTGACCCACAACAGTTGCAAGCCGTAGCAGCAGGAAAAGTAGACTAAAGCGTTCGTGAAGTCTTGTGAGCCGCTCCTTTGGCGAGCACGAGCTGCTGGTTTGGCAAACCCAGAGCCTCTCATTGCAGCCTTGAATCACGGAAGTGTTATCTTTGTGTCATCATGTGAAAGTCGTTCATTCTCGTCACAGCAACTGTGCAGCACGCGAAGAGAGGTTTCAAGGCAAGCCGTGACATGATGTATTATAGGAGACTTTCCGACATATCGTAAGACTGCGCTAGTCGCGGCGGCTGTCCAATTAAACGATTATTTATTCCGAGTCGCGTCAACATATCTTAACGTTCAGCTCTCCACCGTCTGTTCATAATTGTCGTCATGGCTCCATCCATCTTGGATCCTGACGACGCCACGTCAGTAGTACCTGATACGCTAGACGACTGGTACGATGGCTTCACTCCGGCTTTCTCCATCAACGATCTCGGTCGCGGCGCCGCGCCTAATGAATATGCCGTGCTGCGGCGTCGGCTGACGATGCGTCAACAGTCGATGGGCCGGCAGTCTACCCGTCAGCAGTCGACGCGTCAGCAGTCGTCGCGTCAGCAGTCGACACGTCAGCAGCAATCCTTCACGAGCTCGCGATTTTTTATTAATCATCCGTCCCTAATAACCCCCTCGCCGAACGCTCAGAATCTTTCTGGGAGCAATTCCTCAGAAAAAAGCTCGAGCTTCGTAAGTGCGATCCCGAGTTTCGCTAGTAGCGCGTCTGGTGGTGCGCCGATGCTGTACCAAGCCGGGTCAATCGAAGAGGCCGCGGAGTCCGAGGAGGAAGAAGCGGAGGGGGAGGAGCCAGCGCGCAGGGAAGGTAGTACCGCCGGGGGAGGCGGAGCGGATGGGTGGGGGGGAGGAACGGGGGAAACTGACGGGCAAGATGGCCGCGAGGGAACTGCGCCTGGGGGAGCCAGAGAAGGGGGGAATGAAGCGGGCAGCGGACAGAGAGTCAAGCGGGGGAAGCTCGGGCGAGTGAGCTTTGCTGCTGGCACGTGGGAACTCGGCGCAATGGAGGAGGTTAATAACGAGGATGCGGCAGATGACAGTGGAATGAATGCACCCTACGGCGACGGGCAAAGCGGGGTCGCCGGTCTCGGTGCTGACACGTGGCACTCCGCCGCCGCCGGCATCTTCGTTTCCGCCGCTTCCGGCATTTCGTCCGGTTCCTCCGCGTTCCCCGGCGATTCCGACGCGGAAGAGCCTTCTAGCGGCCCGTCGTCGTCGGCCTTCTACAACGATCTATTTGGGATCGGCGAGGCGCCGTTGATCAACCTGATCCGACGGTACCACGACGCGCTCACCGCGCACGGGCTCGCGGACGAGGCGCAGGAGATCGCCGCGTCCGCCGCCGCGCGCCTCGTGAGCATCAAGAGCATGGCTTCGCGCAGGCGGGGCGCGGCAGACGAGGATGAGGCGGATGGGGATGAAGAGGATGAGGAGGGGGACGGGAAAGGGGGAGAAGGTGGGTGGGGGCCGGGGCGGATGGAGAACGGGGAGGTGGGGGAGGGGGAGGTGGTGAAGAGCGAGGTGATGGTGAGGGAGGGGTTGCAGAAGTATCTGATTGCCATGCAGCCCAACCTGCTGTGCGCGCAGCCGCAGGTGAGAACTAGGGAGCACATGCGTGCGTGTGTGTGTGTGTGTGTGTGTGTGTGTGTGTGTGTGTGTGTGTGTGTGTGTGTGTGTGTGTGTGCGTGCATGTGTGTGTGAGTGTGTGTTTGTGTGTATGTGTGTGCGTATGTGTGTGTGTGTGCGTATGTGTGTGTGCGTGCGTGCGTTTGTGTGTGTGTGTGTGTGCGTTTGTGTGTGTGTATGTGTGTGTGCGTGTGTGTGCACGTGCGTGCGCATGCGTTAGTGTGTGTGCGCGCGCACAATACGCGCGCGAGTGTGTGCATGTGTGCAGACCTGCATGGTCGCTCGCCGTCAACTCATCAACCCATGAATCCACGTGTGCAACCCATCCAATCAGGTGGTGACATTCAGCCACGTGGCAGTGACAAAGAAGGTGGTGGTCATCCCGGATCAAATCAAAAACTGCTTCAACGCGGTGAGAATGGGGGAGCGGGCCGGTTTGACTTCCAAGAATCCACACAAGGGTGGAGAGAGGGGCATTGTGAGAGTGAACCGTGGGAGGGGTGGTGAGCCATGCCTAACTGGGGGGACTGGGGGATGTGGTGAGAATAGTGGCATGCAAGGGGGATCGAAGGGAGGTCACTGGCTGCTGTACGAGGCAGCACCATGCCACAAGGCCAGGCCGTTTTCAACAATGCAGGCAGTGCGGAAGCAGCAGTTGACTTTTGAGTCGACCGAAAGGTCACTGGCTGTATTATAACGAGGCTGCCGCACCATTGTAATGCCACAAAAAGACCATCACCACAATGCGGGCAGGGCGAGGTGACTTCTAAATCGACTAAAAAAGGTGACGTTTGAGTCGACTTTGGCTGTACTATAGGGAGGCTGCTGCGCCATTGTGATGTCACAACAAGGCCATCACAACAATGCGGGCAGAGCAGAACTAAACTAAGTGGTGTGCATGAAATACAAGGGAGAAGAGGGGGTGTGCCTTGCAACCCTAGGGACCTAATGTGCTCTTGTCATCCCCTCGACACCCTTGCTTACTGCCTATCTTCCCCTCTCTTTGCTCCTCCGACTGCCCTTCTTTTCACACCTCGCTTTGCCCCTCTTTTCCCCTCTGTCCTTCTGTCCCACTCTCTCCAACGGTCCTTCGTATTAATATCAGCAATGGACAAACAAGGAAAAGCACAAGCAAATACGGTTCTTCGTATTAACCCACTCTCTCTCCCTCTCTGTTCCTCTCGTTTCCTCTCACGGCTGGAGCAGCCGTATTTCAAGCTCAAGGCCATCGCGGGCTTTCAGAAAAAGGAGACCATTCACGTGCTCGACGATGTCTCAGGGTGCGTGCCTCTCCTGCCCTCTGCTGCACGTGTAGTGCTTGTACTGCACCCCTATGTCATGCCCCCCCCCCCGCGGGCTGGCAGAGGAAGGAGACCATTCACGTGCTCGATGATGTCTCAGGGTGCGTGCCTTTTAAATCAATATACACCATTCATGTGCTAGATGGTCTCTGAGGGTGTATCTCGTGCACTCGGGCTTCCTTTCCCGCCTCTCATGTCCTGTATCTCGTGTCCTGCACACTGTATCTTGCGTCGACATGTCTCAGGATGCGTCATGCTCTCTGCTGTACGTTAGACTAAGTGCAATCTGCACACGTTTCCTGGCCTGACCTGACCTGTCCTGCACACTGAATCTCACGCCCATGTGTACAACACGTGCACAGCACGTGTATCCCACGTGCCACACACCTGTCCCCAACCGATGCGCAACTTGCTTCCCCCAGGTCCACTCACTCACCGCCTTCTGCTCTCCCCTTCCATTGCCATGATCCATCCTCTGCCTTGCCTCTATCGCTTTCTCTTGTCACACTTTCCTTGCAGCTTCCTCATGCCAGGGACTCTCACACTCCTCCTGGGAACCTCAGGTGAGCCATCTTGTCTTCCTCCACCCACCTGCCGTCAGGCGAGACTCTTGTGGGCCTCAGATGAGACTCAGGTGGGCCTCAGGTGAGACTCAGGTGGGCTTCAGGTGGGTCCCAGGTGAGCCCGTTTTGAGACTGCCAGCTAGCTGGTGGACATTGCATTCCTCCCACCACCACCCCGTTATTCCCATCCCGTTCACTCGTCCCCATGTTGTGTTACAGGCACTGGCAAATGGATTCTAAACTGCCGCTTAGCCAGGCGGCATCCCTCACCACCAGCACCGTCTCGTATCAACGCCCCCCCCGTCACACCTTCTCTGCCCTGCCCTATTCATCCATCCCCCCCACCTCCCCCTTTTCTCTCAAGTTTTCGGCAAGTCAATGCTCATCCGCCTGCTAGCCGACTTTTGGACGTCTCAGATTTTGGCAAGTCAATGCTCATCCTCCTGCTAGCCGGCCGACAACCCGCCAGCAGCGTCACAGTCGCCTTCAACGCCATGTTCATCACGCACCCCCATCCCATTCATCCATCCCCCACACACCCCACCCACAGGTAGCGGCAAGTCCATGCTCATCAAGCTGCTAGCCGGCCGCCAGCCCGCCACCACCGGCACCGTCTCGTTCAACGCGCACCCCATCACGCCCTCGCGCGCGCATCGCCTCGTGGGGGTGGGCTTCGATGCCGACTGCCACCTCCCCGCCCTCTCCGTGCACGAAACCCTCGCCTTCGCCCGCCACTGCTCGTACCCGCTGTCAGCCAAGCAGCTGCTGCAGCACCCCATGCTGAGCAAGGCGCTGCGGGCGAGCATAGAGAGGGGCGAGGACCCTCTGGTGGCGTCCCGAGAGGCCATGTTTGGGCTGCGACGGCATGCGGGAGAGAAGGTTGGGTCGGGGGCGCTGACCAGAGACGAGGTGCACCGGCTGACTGCTGCTGAGCTCATGGTTGGCGCTTACCCGGTGAGTGCTGAGGCGGGTTTAGAAGGGTGAGAGGGTGACTAGGAACGAGGTGCACCCCCTGACTGCTGCTGAGCTCATGGTTGGCGCTTACCCGGTGAGTACTGAGGCGCATGCACGGTGCGTTGTCTCTCCCTCTTCTTCCTCTCTCCCAAACGCCTCTCCTCTCTCTCCCCCTTGCCTCTCCCCTCTCCCTTCTCCCCTCGCCTCCTGTCCTTCCCCTTCTCTTCCTCTATCCCTGTTCTCCCGTTTCGCCCCTTTTTTTTTCGATTTCGAGCAGCACAAATTTTTAATGTTCAGGGTTTAGGTAAACGTCGAGAGTCAAAACGTACGCCCAACTCTAGATAAAAAAAATCCGTATTGACGCTGGACTTAAGGCCTTCCTAGCGACAAATCTATCCAAGACCAGAAGGAATGCAGTCAGTGTGGGTGCAGGGGGCCGTGTGCTCCGCTGTGCTGTGCTGTGCCGTGCCGTGCCGTGCCGTGCCGTGCTGTGCCGTGCCGTGCCGTGCCGTGCGGGCCATGCCGTGCTGTCTCTTTCTGTGCTGCGCTGTGCCTGTGCTGTGCGGTGCTGTGTTCTTCTCTACTTCTTTGCGCGCCTCCTCTCCTGTTCTCCACATGCGCTCAGTGCTCACCCACCCACCCCTACTCCCATCCCATCTCATGACCTGCTGCTCTCCCCCTCTCCCCCCCAGGTGCTGCTGTTTGATCGCATCAGCCAGGTGTATGATGGGCCCTCCACACACAAGACGCTCACCATGCTGCGCACCCACGCACAGGTCAGTCAGCCTCTGCTTGTGTGTGCGTGCAGTGCATGTGTCTTTGTGCTCCTCTGCCTCTCCTCCCTCCCTTGGCACCCACACCCACACCCACACCCACACCCACACCCACACCCACACCCACACCCACACCCACACCCACACCCACACCCACACCCACACCCACACCCACACCCACACCCCACCTCACCCCCTCACCCACCCTCTCACACACAGGTGCGGCAGCATGTGGTGCTGTGCTCGCTGCAGTCTCCCGCACAGGCGGCCTTCTCCCTCTTCGACCGGGTCATCGTGCTCAAACATCTCTGACGCATCCCTACGCTCTCTGCCCCTCCCCTCTCCCCCTTTTCCCCCCTCCACACCCACACCCCTCACCCACACTCCCACACCCACACCCACACCCACACCGACACACACACACACACACACACACGCACCCACCTCACCCCCCCACCCACCCTCACACACACCAGGTGCGGCAGCACGCGGTGCTGTGCTCGCTGCAGTCGCCCACACAGGCGGTCTTCTCCCTCTTCGACCGGGTCATCGTGCTCAACCAGGGCAACATTGTCTACCAGGGCCCCTGCCACTCCGCGCTCCGACACTTCCAGCAGCTCGGGTGAGTGACCAATACACGCATCTTTGCGTGTATGTGTGTGCTGTGTTCTGTGTGCTGTGTGCTGTGCTGCTTGTGTGTGCTGCTTCTCTTGCTGCGGCACTCAACCAGAGCAACATTGTTTACCAGGGCCCCTGCCACACCGCGCTCAGGCACTTCCAGCAGCTTGGGTGAGCGAGAGGCACACGCGCAAATGATTATTCAATGCTGCAAAGTCGGGAGAGGCACATGCACATGTCAGTGCCGCTTCCTGAAGCCAGATTATCTGCAGTTCAGCACGTTCCGGTCCCCTCTTTCCCCAACCTTTCCTGTCCTCTCTTTCCCCAACCTTTCCGGTCCTCTCTTTCCCCACCCCTTCCTGTCCCCTCTTTCCCCACCCCTTCCTGTCCCCTCTTTCCCCACCCCTTCCTGTCCCCTCTTTCCCCACCCCTTCCTGTCCCCTCTTCCCCTCCCCCCAGATACTTGAAGCCACTGCACATGTCAGTGCCAGGTTATCCGCAGCGCGGCACGTCAATGCCCTTACTGACTCGCCTTGTCCTCATTCCCTCACTCGTACCCACTCCCCTCTCCTCCCATCTCTCCTGTCCCCCCATCGCCCCATCATCTCCCCCCCCCCCCCCTCTCAGCTACCTGAAGCCACTACACACGTCAGTGCCGGAGTATCTGCAGCACGTGCTTGAGTGCCCTCACCAACCAACTTCCCACCCTTCCCCTCTTCCCCCCTTCCCCCCCTTCCCCCCCCTTCCCCCCCTCCTCCCCAGCTACCTGAAGCCACTACACATGTCAGTGCCGGAGTATCTGCAGCACGTCACCACGGAGGGAGGGGGCGCCCTCAGATCCGGCAAGAGGAAGCTGCTGCTCGAGGGCTTCGGTGAGTGCGGTGCTGCTCGAGGGCTTCGGTGAGTGCGGTGCTGCTCGAGGGCTTCGGTGAGTGCGGTGCTGCTCGAGGGCTTCGGTGAGTGCGGTGCTGCTCGAGGGCTTCGGTGAGTGCGGTGCTGCTCGAGGGCTTCGGTGAGTGCGGTGCTGCTCGAGGGCTTCGGTGAGTGCGGTGCTGCTCGAGGGCTTCGGTGAGTGCGGTGCTGCTCGAGGGCTTCGGTGAGTGCGGTGCTGCTCGAGGGCTTCGGTGAGTGCGGTGCTGCTCGAGGGCTTCGGTGAGTGCGGTGCTGCTCGAGGGCTTCGGTGAGTGCGGTGCTGCTCGAGGGCTTCGGTGAGTGCGGTGCTGCTCGAGGGCTTCGGTGAGTGCGGTGCTGCTCGAGGGCTTCGGTGAGTGCGGTGCTGCTCGAGGGCTTCGGTGAGTGCGGTGCTGCTCGAGGGCTTCGGTGAGTGCGGTGCTGCTCGAGGGCTTCGGTGAGTGCGGTGCTGCTCGAGGGCTTCGGTGAGTGCGGTGCTGCTCGAGGGCTTCGGTGAGTGCGGTGCTGCTCGAGGGCTTCGGTGAGTGCGGTGCTGCTCGAGGGCTTCGGTGAGTGCGGTGCTGCTCGAGGGCTTCGGTGAGTGCGGTGCTGCTCGAGGGCTTCGGTGAGTGCGGTGCTGCTCGAGGGCTTCGGTGAGTGCGGTGCTGCTCGAGGGCTTCGGTGAGTGCGGTGCTGCTCGAGGGCTTCGGTGAGTGCGGTGCTGCTCGAGGGCTTCGGTGAGTGCGGTGCTGCTCGAGGGCTTCGGTGAGTGCGCGTGCTGCTCGAGGGCTTCGGTGAGTGCGCGTGCAATGCAAGTTAAGTGAGAGATTTGGTGAGTGCGTTGCTGCTGAGGGGTTTTGTGAGTGCAGTTGCAAGGCTGGGTGCTGTGTGGTTGGTGGGCAGGGTGTGCCTGGGTTGGTGGGGAGGGTGTGCCTGGGTTGGTGGGGAGGGTGTGCCTGGGTTTGTGTACTGTTCTCTCCTGACTCTGGCCTGGCGTGTTAACATCCGTGCTTTCATTCTCATCTTCCTCATCTTCCTCATCTTCCTCATCTTCCTCATCTTCCTCATCCTTTCTCATCCTTCCTCATCCATCTCCCACACCTCCGCATGCTTTTCCTTTCACACACCATCCAACATCCTGCCTGCCTGCCTGCCAACAGTGCGTGCATACAAGAAGTCCCCTCATTACAAGAACATCCTCCGTGTCACAAGCCACCCCACGCCTCTCCTCCTCCTCTGGATCTCCGGGCCGGCATGCCACGTCCTTTCCCGGATCCGCTGCGCGATCGCCGACGTGGCACCTGACGCCACTTCAGCAGACGCCAGCGCTCCAGACGCTGCCACATCAGCTCCAAACGGCGAGCAGCAGCAGGGCGCTGCAGCAGGAAGCAGCGGAGCAGCAGAGAGCTCGTCGGCGGGAGGAGAAGCTAAGGGGTTGGGAGTGTCATCTTACCAAGCAGTAGTGGTGACAGAGTCTCGTGTGATATTCGATGAGGACGGGGGGGAAGGAGGAGTGGGGGCAGGCGAAGCTGATGGGGAGGGACGAGGGGGAGGGAGAGGAGCGGGAAGGAGAGGGGGAAGGGGAAGGGGAGAGGGGGGGCATTTGGAGGAGGGGGTGGAGGCGACGGGACCGGTGTGTGTAGGAGACGTGGTGGTGGCAGTGACGGTGGGCGATCGGGGTGAGATGGAGTATGCGAGGTATGCGGGGGGGGATGTGCCGGTGGAGGAGATAATGGAGATGCTGGAGGAGGTCAGGGACAGCGCCACATGGCTGCATCTGGAGCTGCAGCGACCCCTCAATATAGTCACACAGCCGGTGAGTGCCGGCCGGCCTTGGGTGTGGGAGTATTGTTTTGTTATGTTACGTCATGCTACCTGAGCTTTGGCGAGGGTCGTTTGTGCCTTTTGAGACGTCTCAAAAGTCAAAAGTTTTGAGACGTCTCAAAAGTCAAAAGTTTTGAGACGTCTCAAAAGTCAAAAGTTTTGAGACGTCTCAATTGTTATGTTATGGCTACCTGGGCCTCGGCAAGGGACGTTTGTGCATCTGTCCATCCATCCCCCAGCTGCTTCATGTCGCCTCCCGCCCTTCCAGCGAGAGCGCTCTGCTCTGCCAGGCTTTCCTGTCAAGGGTTTCGGGGTTATCCGTTCCTGTCTCGTCCAACCCCACCACCAGGAAAAGGCAACTCAGTGCGGCGAGGAGGAGGAGCAGACGGAACACCTGTTGACGAGTAGCAGCCAGGCTCCCAGCGACGTGGAGGCCGGCTGTGCTGCTGCTGCTGGTGGGGCTGCTGCTGCTGGTGGGGCAGCTGGTGAGAGTGCACAGCAGGGAGCTGATGCGGCTGAGCCCCCGCCTGGCAGTGCTGCTGCTGCAGGCGCAGAGGCTGAGCATGTGGAGGCCAAGGCCAATGACACGCGTGTTGACATCCATGACCATGACACCCCTGCTGACGCCGACGACACACACGCTTTGGTCAGCCACATTGCCCGGTGCGACAGCGCCCGAGGAGCAGCAGGTGAGGACGACAAGGGAGAGCATGGAGAGGAGGAGGCAGACGCGGTCGCAGCAGCAGGGAGCACGAAGCGGGGCAACGCGAGGGGCATCCAGTCGCTCCCGAAGGCCATCCCCCACGCCATCACGAAAGCCTTCAAGAGCATCGGCCTGTCTGCATTCAAAAGGCTGCAGGGCAGCAGCAGCAGGAGGAGGAGCGGCGCGTTCATGCAGCTGCAGGGGGTGAATGCCGCAGGGGCTCTTAAAGCCATGAACCTGTCGGCTGCGGCGACGGCGTCGCGCGCGGCGGTGATGGCGGGGCTGTGGGGGGGGGCGAACAGAGAGCTGCTGCGCAAGGAGTTGATTCTGGACATGTGGCCTGAGTTTAAGTTGTTGTTGAGGCGGCAGTTGCAGGTCAATCTGCGGAACTGGAGCTTCATTGCTGCCCGCCTGCTGCTGGTAAGTGGGAGGAGAGGAGCTGGTGCAGGCGAGGGGAAGCATGTGGTGCAGAGGTGGGGTGTTTTGGTGCGAGATTGCTGTGGGATTGAGATGGCTGGCTGTGGGATTGAGATGGGTGGCTGTGGGATTGAGATGGGTGGCTGTGGGATTGAGATGGCTGGCTGTGGGATTGAGATGGCTGGCTGAGCGGGGGGCGAGAAGAGAGAGCTGCTGCGCAAGGAGTTGGTTCTGGACATGTGGTCTGACCTTGAGGCGCTCAAAAGACATGTGGCCTGACCTTGAGTTCAAGCTGCTGCTGCAGCGCCAGTTGCAAGTGAACCTGCGCAACTGGAGCTTCATTGCTGCCCACCTGCTGCTGGTGAGAAGAGGGGTTTCTGTGCGTGTGTTTTCTGGGAGTTGCTGCTCTGCAATGAGAGAGGGCAGCGCAACCTGTTTACTGTGTAGCCTGAGGAGGAGGGGTTGACGCTGTTGTCTCTGTCCTGCTTGACTAGATTGCATCCTCCCCCTTCGTTCCCTCCTCTCTGTCATCCCTCCCTCTCTCCCCTGGTCCCTGCAGGACCTCTTTCGTGGGCTTCGACTGTTTCCACCTTCTGAACTGCCTCAGCAGTCGTCTGCTTGTTTCTCCTCACACCCCTTTCCCGCCTCTCCTTCCTCCCTCCCTCTCTCCCCTGGCCCCTGCAGGACCTCTTTGTGGGCTTCGACCTGCTCAGTCTCTTACACCTCCCTGCAGGACCTCGTGGTCTTGGACCTCTTACACCTCCCCGTGGACCTCTCTCCATTCAGTTGATGAAATAACCTTTCTACTTTTCCACCTCCCAATCGTCCTTCTCCCTGCTCCCTCCCTCCTTCACCTGCTTCCCTCCCTCCCTCCGCAGGTCACTCTGCTTGGTCTCTTCGTGGGATTTGATTTCTTCCAGCTGCCAGCCGAACCGCTGCCCTTCGCACACCTGAACCTGCGGCGGGGCGTGATGCAGATATCACTCGCTCATCACCATGACTGTCAACAGCGTCAGCCTTCTGCCAAGTCATACGAAAAAACTTCCCACTAACCCGCCCTCTGTCCCCTTCTCCCTTCTCTATACTCCCTTCGTCCTCATTGTTTCCCTCCCTCCGCAGGTCACCCTGCTCGGCCTCTTCGTGGGATTTGATTTCTTCCAGCTGCCAGCCGAACCGCCGTCCTTCGCGCACCTGAACCTGCGGAGGGGCGTGATGCAGATATCACTCATCACCATGACGGTGAACAATGTGAGCCTGCTGCCGGGCTACATGCTGGAGCGCCAGGTGTACTTCAAGCACCGCAGCGCGCGCTTCTTCCGCACGCGCTCCTACGCGCTCTCGCAGCTCATCGCCAGCCTGCCACTCTCCATCGTTGAGGTGGGTGGGCGGGTGGGCAAGGACAGCTGTACGTTGTTACTGTAGGCATGCCTTGGGAGCTGTCAAGATGTGTGGGGGGTAAATCTTACGCGCTCCTACGCGTTCTCGCACCTCGTCGCCAGCCTGCCGCAGTGTGAATGAGGATGTGGAATGTGGAATCTCGCACCTCGTCGCCAGCCTGCCGCAGTGTGAATGAGGATGTGGAATGTGGAATCTCGCACCTCGTCGCCAGCCTCCAGATTGTGTTGTGAATTGTGATGTGGAATGTGGAATGTGGAATCAAACAGGATGAAGAGTACTTCAATTATCGCAGTGTGCCCAAACTTCCGCTCTTGCACAGCCTTTCCACTTCCCTACTTCCTTCCCCCCCGTCCCCTACAGGCGACCATCTGGTCGGTGCTGGTGTATTTCCTCTCGGGCCTCACGCTCTCCGACTACGGAGCGCACTTCTTCATCTTCCTCTTCGTCCTCTCCCTCGTGGCCATTCACGGCGCTGCCATGATCCGCTTCATCGCCTTCACCTCCCGCACCCTCCGCTCCGCCGCCTTCGCTGCGGCCATCTTCATGGGCCCCGGCATGTTCCTCTTCGGCCACATCCTTGTAGCCAAGGCGCTTATACCGAGTTTCTGGATCTGGCTATACTGGATCAACCCCATGCAGTGGGCGTCGACGGTCCTAGCGATCAACGAGCAGCGGAAGTACGTTCCTGTGCAGTTCTGCCCAGCTCCTGCACTCGTCCCGACCAACATGCCGTACTGTGTGGGGCGCGAGAACTGGCCGATCGGCCGAGCGTACATGGAAGAGTACAGCTGGAACTACGAATGGGGGTATTTGATCGCAGGGCCGTTTGTGATTCTCGCGTGGATTGCCATTTGGACGGTGGGGACGTTTCTGAGCATGCGGCCGCAGCACTACAGCACCTTTGCTGCGCCCGTGAGAGTGCTCTCAGAGGCCAAGCGCGGAGGGAAGCGGGCTGGTGCGAGGGAGGAGGGGAACGGGAATGGGACTGGGGGAGGAGCAACTGGGGGAGGAGCAACTGGGTCAGTAGCAGCGAGGGTTTTGGGGGCAGTTACGGCTGCCATGGGGGGTTCATGGCAGCGGAGGGGCAGTGGGAAGGAGGGAGCAGCAGCGGGCGGAGGAGAGGGCACCTCCCAGAAGAAGCCTGGCGGAGCAGAGGAGCAGGGAGGGATGGGAGGGCATTCGAGCTACAGGGATGTGGAGTGGGGTCCTGGTCCTGCCGTTTCGAGGGACGGCCATGGAAGCTCAACAGCAGAAGAAGCAGCAGTGGCAGCGGCGGCAGCAGCGGCAGAGGCAGCAGGGGCAGCAGAGGCAGCGATCATGGACTGCAACATTCCCTTCACCCCGTACATCATCACGTTTGAAAACCTCTCCTGCTCCGTGCCGCTGCCCTGCCCGCCCGAGAACGCCTGGGGGAAGTCTTCGGTGGGCGCTGGTGGGGAGGCGAGGAGGAGGAGTGAGGCGAGCCGGTGCCTGGTGCGGGGGGTGACGGGGTGGGTGAAACCGGGGGAGGTGACAGCTGTGACGGGCGCCAGGGGCACAGGCAAGACCACTCTGCTCAACTGCCTTGCAGGTGGGCAGGCTTGCTTGATCTGAGGAGGTGCCTCAGGTATAGACTGAATTAGACCGGAATAGACTGAGGCTGACTGAAATATACTAAAATAGACTGAAATAGACTGAGGCTGACTGAAATATACTAAAATAGACAGAAAGAGATTGAGACTGACTGAAATACACTAAAAATAGACTGAAATAGACTGAGACAGACAGATTGACCTAGACTCGGCTCATCTGCTGTGCAGGATAGGTGTGCGCATCTGTTTCTAATTGGTTGGCCTGAGATAATTCTTGAGCCTTGATCACCGTGAGGTCAAGTCAACTCCCTTGCCTCCCTCTTCTGGTCAGCATCATTCATTTCTTCCTCTTTCATACCCTCTCTCTGCTGCTCCACCTTTTTTTTTCAGACGGTTTTGTTAAGAGGCTGAATAAATCTCCGATTCTCCGGCATCATTCTTTACCTTCCACTTTCATCCCTTCTCTCTCAGGGCATCAACTGCTGCGCCCCCTTTCCTTTCTGCCTTCCCCCCTGCTTCCCACGCCAGCAGTTTTGAGACGCTTCAGAACTCAATCCAACCCTTTTTCTGCCCGCATACCCTGCTTCCCTGTCCCACAGGCCGAGAGACCGGTTTTTGAGGTGCCTTTTGAAGCGACTTTTGAGGCGCCTCAAAAGTCGCCCACAGGCCGCGAGACCGGGTTTTGAGGCGCCTTAAAACTAATGGCCAGGCGCCTGCTGATGAGCAGCGAGTAGAGAGATTTCTGGTGGTTCCTTTGCACCACAGCGTACATCCAGGGCGCTGACCTCCTCTACCCGCTGCTCTGCTCACCCTGCGAGAGAGCCTGCTGTACTGCACCGCTCTCACCACAGCATGCATCCGAGGCGCCGCTGATTTCTACTACCTGCTCTTTCTCCTCCCTCCCGCACCCGCAGGCCGCAAGATACCCGGCAAGGTGAATGGCCGACTGCTGGTGAACGGAAAGCCAAGGGACCTCCCATCGTTCCTGCGCACCACTGCATACATCCAAGGCGCCGACCTCCTCTACCCGCTGCTCACCCTGCGGGAGAGCCTGCTGTACCGCACCACCCTCACTCTCCCCGACCAAGTACAAGACGAGCAACGCCGCGCGTTCGTCGCGCAGATTTTGTCTCTTACGGAGTTTACGGGCGGCATGGCGGACAGCCTGGTGCAGGATATTCTGGCGGACGGCGTGGGGTCGGCGTATGTGGAGAAGCGGATCGTGTTTGCAATGGAGATGGCGGGCAACCCCAGCGTCGTGTTCTTTGACATGCCGTTCCTGCGCATGGACACCACTGAAGTGGCTAAGTTCTCCGGCATGCTCAAGGTGCGAGCCCGGACAGGTTGAGGTCCAGTCAAGTCAAGGTAATCCAGAACCGGAGCGTCGTGTTCTTTGATATGCCGTTTCTGCGCATGGATACCACTGCGATACTTGGGGCATACAGCGATTGCAAAGGGGCCTGAGGGGTTGTGTTTACGATGGAGATGGCTGGGTGGGACAGTGTGGTGTGTTTGACGACTTTTAAGGCGCCTCAAAACGACAGTGTGGTGGTTTTGACGTGCCGTTCCTCCGCATGGACACCTCTAAGGTGGCCAAGTGTCCTGGCATACTCAAGGTAAGATGCTTGAGTCGATTTCCAGACATTTCCAGCAAGCAGCAGCGGAGGAAAAAATTAAAAACGTCTGCTCGCTGCTGCTCGCTGCTGCTCGCTGCTGCTCACTGCTTCTTGCTGGAAATGTCTGAAAGCCGGCGAGATTCTCAGGCATGCTGAGGTGAGGTGAGATGCATGAGTCAATGTGCACAATCTATGAAAGCACATCTGATGCTGTTCAATTATGTCACTTCATCACACCATGTCCACTTGTTCCCCCATACCCCATGCTATCGCGCCCCTCCCTCCCAACAGCACGTGGCGGCAGCATGGGGGAGAGCGATGGTGGTGGTGTCGAACGCGGTTACCGCCTTCCATCTGAACGCCTTCCACTCGCTGCTCATGCTGGGCAGCGGGGGGGACATGGTCTACTTTGGGCCAGCGGGCAGGAACGGGAACGCACTGGTGGTGAGTGGAATGACGCAGCGTTCGAGGCATGCCGCTCGTGGTGAGTGAGTGGGATAGTGCAACTTCCATCTCAACGCCTTCCACTCGGCGTGGGGTCGGCGTGGTCTGCTTTGGGCCTGCGGGGAGGAACGGACGGGAATGCACTTGGGCATGACCAGCGGGTGCCGGTGATTGGGCCGAGGAAATGCACTCGCTGCTCATGCTGGGCCGCGGAGGGGACATGGTCTGCTTTGGTCCTGCAGGGAGGAACAGCAACGCTCTCGTGGTGAGTGAATGAGATGAAGCAGCTTTTGAGGCAGCTCCAAGGCAACAACTCAAAGCAGCGATTCAAAAGCAGCAGTGGGGAAACATGCGCGGGATTGTGGGGTGGGGACACGGTTGGTTGACTTTGGCCCTGTGGAAAGAAACACAAAGCACTCGTGACGATGAGATGAGATGCTGCCTTTGTTCTAGTGGTTCAGTCAGACTGGGTAGGTCGTTGTGTGAAGTTCCGAACTGCGGATACTGTAATTCCCCCTAGCATGACTCCATAACACCCCCCACCATCCCCTCTGTTACCCCACACTCCTCCTCCCCCTGCAGGAGTATTTCTCGGCCATCCCAGACACGCCCCCAGTGCCCCCCCACACAAATCCCTTTACATTCATGCTTAACGCTCACCGCCTCTCCAATCCCCTCAACTCCCCCCCCCCATACCCCCTGCGTGCCCTTATTTCCTTCCTCCTGCAGGAGTATTTCTCAGCCATCCCGGGCACGCCCCCAGTGCCCCCACACACGAACCCCATCATATTCATCGAGCACCTGCTGGGGGACGACGCCACTGCCACCCGGCAGCGCGCCACCGCGTGCGACTACGCCGTGGAGTACCGCGTCTCCGATCTCGCTATGCTCAACGCCCACCGCCTTTCCGCTCTCCGCCGCGGCGGCGCTGCTGCTGCTGCCGCCTTTGCTGACCACGCCGCTGCTGCCAATCTCGAGGCTGCCAAGTCAATGGGCAGGGATGCTGCTGCTGCTGCCGCTGCTGCTGCCGCCGCTAGTGGCGGTGGTGAGAGTGGGAGGGGATTCGTTGAATCAGGAGCGGGTGGCATGGAGCACGAGAGCGCCAGCCTGGCAATGGTGGCGTCTGACTCAGCGTGGTCCCTTGCTGCGTTGGAGCAGGAAGAAGCAATAGCAGCCAAGGGGGCAGAAGCCTTAGCAGGGTCAGTGAGCGGGCGTGACACCGGTGCTGCTGCTGCTGCGGCTGTTGCTGCTGCTGCTGGTCTGACTGGAAGTGAGTCTGCGGAGGGAGAGGGAGAAGGAGGAGGGGGTGGAGGAGGGTGGCTGAAAGCCAAAGGCATGATTCGACGCCGAGCAGCATCCGCTGCAGCAGCAGCTGCGATAGTGTCAAACGCAGCAGAATCCCACGCAGCAGCAGCCGCAGCAGCAGCAGCAGCAGCAGCAGCAGAAGCGGAAGCAGCGGCAACAGCAGCAGCGGAAGCAGAAAGCACCCCCAACGAAGAAGCCACGCCAGCCGAGCCGCTCCTCCTCATGCCCGCGCTGCCGCCCGTGGCAGTGAAGCTCCCGAGCCCATGGCGCAAGCTGATGGCGGTGCAGTACAGCATCCACCTCTTCTACTGGCGCAACACCTCGCACTCCCTCAACCGCATCATCCAGTCCTCCATCCTCGGCCTCCTCATCGGCTCGCTCTTCTCCCAATACCCCGTGCACAACCTGCTGCAGGTGAGGGCACAACCTGCTGCAGGTGAGGGGCACAACCTGCTGCAGGTGAGTGGCACAACCTGCTGCAAGTGAGTGAGTGACCCCCCCGGTGAGTGCTGGCGTTTGGCACGTCAGTCCACGACGGTACCACTCTCTGCTCATGCGCACTGGCTCCCTCCTGCCCCACTCCCACTTCTTTCTTCCACCCGGCACACCCCCCCACAGGCCACCACAGCACAGGAGTTCCCCTCACAGTACTGGCGTTCGGCACGACGCGGCACGGAGGCACGAGAGAGGGGGGCTGGCCATTCTGATCTGCTCCCTTTTGCACCCCTCCTCTCCCACCAACCATCCCCCTGTGCGCCCCACGTCTCTTGTGCAGGCCACCACAGCGCAGGCGTTCCCCTTCGCAGTGCTGGCGTTCGGCACGACGCGGCACGGAGGCACGAGAGTGGGGGGCTGGCCATTCTGATCTGCTCCCTTTTGCACCCCTCCTCTCCCACCAACCAACCCCCTGTGCGCCCCACGTCTTTTATGCAGGCCACCACAGCGCAGGCGTTCCCCTTCGCAGTGCTGGCGTTCGGCACGACGCGGCACGGAGGCACGAGAGTGGGGGGCTGGCCATTCTGATCTGCTCCCTTTTGCACCCCTCCTCTCCCACCAACCAACCCCCTGTGCGCCCCACGTCTCTTGTGCAGGCCACCACAGCGCAGGCGTTCCCCTTCGCAGTGCTGGCGTTCGGCACGACGCTGCACGGAGGCACGGCGGTGGGGCTGGTGAATCAGACCAAGAAGGTGTTCACCCAGGAGCGCATCTACAACCAGCACTTTGCTTTCCTCTACACGCTGGGCTACACCGTGGTTGAGGTGAGACCGTGTTTGCTTGTCTGGCCAGCATAGCAAGTACTGAATTGTGAGAGTGCGTGCGTGCACAACCAGCACTTTCCGTTTGTTCACACGCTGGGGTAAATCATGGTTGAGGTGAGATTGTTGTTGCATGGCGTTCACACACACACGCGCGGAGGCACGGCGGTGGGGCTGGTGAATCAGACCAAGAAGGTGTTTGCACAGGAGCGCATCTACAACCAGCACTTTGCGTTTCTCTACACGCTGGGCTACACGGTTGTTGAGGTGAGGCAGCTGTTGCATGGCATTCACACACACACAGGCACGGAGGTGGGGCTGGTGAATCAGACCAAGAATGTGTCCTCCCAGGAGTGCATGTACAACCAGCACTTTGCCTTCCTCTACACGCTGGGCTACACCGTGGTTGAGGTGAAACAGTCAGTGGTTGCTTGTTTGGCAGAGTACTGTTTGCACATGACCCTGTGTACAGCCGGCACTTTGAGTTTCCTCTGTTTTCCCCTAAACCCTCTGATCCTCTACCTTCGGTTCACTTCCCTCATGCCCGTAGCCGTATAATCACCATTACCAGGCCTGGCGGTGGGCAGCAGTAGCTTGAACTTCCGCGCTCACATGTTCGTGCAGGTTTGCGTGAACATGTTCGTGCAGGTTTGCGCGAACATGTTCGTGCAGGTTTGCGCGAACATGTTCGTGCAGGTTTGCGCGAACATGTTCGGCATTCCATCATAACCGCCTTCATCCCCTGCTTCTCCTTTTCTCCTCTTCCCCGCGCAGATCCCCTACCTGCTGCTCACCTCCCTCGCACTCGTGTCAGTGGCAGCGCCACTGGCGGGCCTGGCAGTGAGCAGCGCGGCGCTCTTCTTCTCCTTCGGCCTCACGCAGTTCCTGGCCGCTCTCTCCGTCACCTACTTTGGCTTCATGCTCTCCGTGCTGCTGCCCCACCCCAAGGTGCGCCCCCACCCCAAGGTGCGACAAGCTGGTCCAAGGTGAGACAAGCTGGTCCAAGGTGAGACAAGCTGGTCCAAGGTGAGACAAGCTGGTCCAAGGTGAGACAAGCTGGTCCAAGGTGAGACAAGCTAGTATTCCAGAATTCGAAGCAACCAGCTTCCCTCCCACAAGCGTTTTTTGAGAATTCTCAAAAAACACTAGCAGGGCTGGCAGTGGGTGGGTGGGTGGGCAGCATAGGGGCGTTCTTCCCTTTTGGTCGCACCGCACGCTCCTTGCTGCCGTCTCCGTCACCTACTTTGCCTTGCTTCTCTCCATGGTGTTGCTGCCCCCTGCCTCCATGGTCTTCTCTCCATGGTCCTTCCCCAGCCCAAGGTGTTGCTGCCCCCCGTCTCTCTTGTGTTACTCCTACCCTAAGTTGCTGCCCCAACCCATGGTACTCTTATTTGTTCTGTTCCCAAGCTGCTATTGCTATTCACTCATCCCCTGAGATGAGAAGCACTTGATAATTCTCCCATTATACTGCCCGAACCAAACCCGTACTGTTCAGAGGGCATCCCACAATTCTGCCAGGTCCTTTCTTCTCCCCTACCCTGCCTGGTGTGAGATTAGTTCTGAGTCGACTCAAAAGCCTTCCTGCCCCTACAATGTCTGTTTTGTTCCTTCTAAGCTGACTCAAAGGTCATCTCACAACATCTCGCCAGATTTTCGAGTCCTACACTCACAGTTGCTGGCATAAGTGTGGTGGTGCCATGACATTGGTCATCACAGCATGAATATTGGATGATGGATGATGGATGATGGATGGCGGGTAACCACAAGGGCACACGTTTACCCTTCCTCCTTCTCCCCTGCCCTTGCCCCCATGTTCTTCCCCACCCCACTCCCACAGTACGCAGCAGTGGTGCATTCCTTCCTCATCACGGCATGGGTTGTCTGGCATAGTGCCGTTTCTTTCTGCCCTGTTCATTCCCAAGCCACAGAACCCTCATCCCGCCCATTCCCCCCTCCCTTCCCTTCCCCTCCCACTCCCCGCACTTACAGTACGCCACAGCGTTGGTCTCCTACTCGTCACACGCCATACACCCCTCATCCCCATCGCCACCCCCCGCCCTCCCTGTCCCTCCCCACGCCCCTGACCACAGTACGGGGCAGTGGTGATTTCCTTCTTCATCACGGCGTGGGTGGCGACGTGTGGCTTCTTCCTGCCCTACGCCTTCACCAAAAACTTCTTCCTCGCCGTCTATTGGACCAACCCCATCCAGGTTCGTTGCTCTACTTATTAACATGAATTCCGTGAGTAAGTAGACCACTTTTGAGACCTCTCAACAATACTTCGTTCTCGCTGTCTACTGGACCAACCCCATTCAGGTTTGTTGCACTACTTATTGGTTCACAGACTCATCATTTACTGACCGGGTCGTACTTCTATTGAATGAGGTTGGTCCAGTATTGTCACCGCTACTGAACCAGTTCCAGTCAGCTGCCATCTACTAGCCATGCCGACCCAATTCACAGCAGCATTTCTCTTTCAATGTGACTCAGAGGTGAATTGTCTGGCTGGGAACGCCGATTCCGGCTCTTCTGTCATGGTGTTGTTGATGCGGGATGAAACTGCACATCCGGTAGTCCCCTGAGCTTCCAGCTTTACCAATCACCGCCCCTTTCTCTCTTCTTCTTCGCTGCACTCCTCCCATCACCCATCCTTCCCATACCAGGCCTGTCTTCCCTCCTCAATCTTTCTCCCTGCAACCATTTCCTGGCCTACAGACCTACTGTTGTCCAGGCACAGTGTAGTCACTTGTCAGGATTCTCTCAACTCCTGTGGCATCGCCTCTGCACCAATCTCCCCTCTCTCCTCTCTACCCCCATCCCTCTCTTTCCCTCTGTCCTCATCCCTCTCCTTCCCTCTGTCCTCATCCCTCTCCTTCCCTCTGTCCTCATCCCTCTCCTTCCCTCTGTCCTCATCCCTCACCTTCCCTCTGTCCTCATCCCTCTCCTTCCCTCTGTCTTCATCCCTCTCCTTCCCTCTGTCTTCATCCCTCTCCTTCCCTCTGTCTTCATCCCTCTCCTTCCCTCTGTCCTCATCCCTCTCCTTCCCTCTGTCTTCATCCCTCTCCTTCCCTCTGTCTTCATCCCTCTCCTTCCCTCTGTCTTCATCCCTCTCCTTCCCTCTGTCTTCATCCCTCTCCTTCCCTCTGTCTTCATCCCTCTCCTTCCCTCTGTCTTCATCCCTCTCCTTCCCTCTGTCTTCATCCCTCTCCTTCCCTCTGTCTTCATCCCTCCCTCTCCTTCCCTCTGTCTTCATCCCTCTCCTTCCCTCTGTCTTCATCCCTCTCCTTCCCTCTGTCTTCATCCCTCTCCTTCCCTCTGTCTTCATCCCTCTCCTTCCCTCTGTCTTCATCCCTCTCCTTCCCTCTGTCTTCATCCCTCTCCTCCCCTCTGTCCTCATCCCTCTCTCCCCTCTCTCCCCATCCCTCTCCCCCTCTGCCCCTATCCCCGTTCCCCCACGCAGTACGCCCTGAACGGCCTCACAGCAACAGCCTACTACTGCAACACCTCTGCACCGGAGTGCACCATTCCGGGCTGCCCCGGCACCAGTTCAGCCTGCGACAGCTGTCCCTGCAAGTGGTACCTCAACCCCATCAGCGGCCCTGAGTATCTGTGGAACTTCCTCGTCGCCACCAAGTCGGCACGCAGTGCCGTGCACTGGGACTGGCTCTTCCTCCTCTGCTTCTGCGTCTTCTGCCGCGTCACTGCCTTTGCTGCGCTGCGCTTCCTGCGCCATAACCACCGGGCATGAGACTTAAAGGCGTGCTGAGCTGACTTGCCTCAACACCCACAACTACCATATTTAAGCCGTAGATTTGTCTCAACCCCATCAGAGGCCCCGAGTATCTATGGAATGGAACTTCCTGGTCCCCTCGCCACCAAGTCGGCACGCAGTGCTGTGCACTGGGACTGGCTCTTCCTCCTCTGCTTCTGCATCTTCTGCCGCGTCACCGCCTTTGCTGCACTGTGCTTCCTGTGCCACAACCACCGCGCATGAGCATTTGAGGCGGCCCCATGAACACCATGATCGAACTACACGAGTTGAATGGCCACCCACATCAGAAATGCCACTCGTGAGAACTGTTTGAGTCGAGTGCTTTTTCCTATGATACCTACGGTAATTTGTTGTGCAGTTCAGTTCAGATACCGAGGTGGTTGAATACTTGCTGGAGAATGCCTCTGATGATGATGAACACTAGAAGGGTTAGTGTACTGTTTGATGCTTGCTATTGCTGATTCTACCTTGTACGGTAAGTGCTGTGCTTTGTGGCAGTGTGTTAACTATAAGGTTACATCCAGAAAAACACTTGGCATTTAGCAGTACCATGTTCATGTCTGGTGTGTTGGGAGATGCAATGCAACCTAGCATGATGGTAACTCGGCAACACATAAACTGCCCACCAAAATGTGCACCAGGATACCGTTCTGACTGTCATACAAAAGCTGTTGTGTTGACAACCTGCAGAGCCTTGCTGCTGCATCATGCAGAAAAGCTGCATCATGCAATCCAAACAGCTGACAACAGGGGCAAAGCAAATCCAGCGCCACGACCCTCCAACCAACGAGCCCCTTACACTCAGTGTGATGCAATGCAAGCAACTATCTCTATTGTAACACGTCAGTCACCAAACTCAGTGTAGTAACTTTGTAACCCCTGAGTGTAGTAACTTTCTAACCAATCAGTTACCCCCGGACACTCAGTGTAGTAACTTTATAACCAGTCAGTCACCCCCGGATACTCAGTGTAGTAACTTTGTAACCAGCGAGCCTTGCATGCGTCCGAGCACAGCCCCATTGGGAAACGAGGGCGTTTTCACCACCACATAGAACTTTCCCGGCCTCTTTATAAGCTCATCCAGTAACTTGCGCAACGACTTGCCCGTAGAGTCTACTTGTACACCCCGCGCCTTCCGCACTGTACCCTCTTGCATAAACCCGTACCCCTTGTAACCGCGTAACCGCTGCATGGGCGTTGGGTCAACAGCCAACCACGGAAATGAAAGGGTCGACGAACCTGCAGAGGTGTAACCTGTATTTGCACCCGAGGCTGCTTGTAGCGAGTCGAAGGAGAGAACGACGTTGGTGTCGCCCGTGCCGTCGCGTTTAGGGTTTCCGCGGTGGATGCTGACTGATAGGGGCACCTCGTTGCGCGACAGTCCCAAGGTGGAAGTGAAGAAGCGAATGTTGTATTCACTGTTCCATCTGTTTGGGGATGTCGTGAGAGCAGAAAGGAAGTGGAAAAGTAAGCAGATGGGATAGAGTACAAAAGAGCACGCAAAGGGTATATCAATCAGCCATGAAAAGGCTAGACCAAGGATAGGATGGAGAGGGAATGGCGGGAGGGGTGACGGATGGAAAGAGGGGTAAGGGAAAACCCGAGCTGCTATGGATTGTATGAGAACCTAGGAAGGTCCAAGGATGCATGCACAATGAAGGGCAACCGCTGCCCAGCTTGAACATACAGCTCGTATGTACCCTGTAGAAGCGCACTCACTTGTAGATGTTGATATCGAGCCATCCATGTGCTCCCTTGTCCCCCTTAGAGCCCGGAACGGCCTTGCCTGTGAGCTTCGCGTACACCTCCCCTGCCAGGAAGAAAAGGTGGAGATAGAGAAAAGGAAGTCAAGAATACCTGCCTTCCGCTCAGCCCGCCTTCCACTCAACTGGGGGAGGATAGTAGGTGACGGAATAAACGTCGCTGGATATACACGGATTGGGGTGGCGGGATAAAGTGGCGGTGGGGGGCGTGAGAGAATGGAAGCTAACACATGCAACACGGCCATGCCTGCTACCAAGCATGCGATAGCGACGACGGGAGCGACAAGGTCGGCAGGGGTGGCAGGGGCGACAGGGGTGGCAGGGGCGACAGGGGTGAGAGGGGCGGGAGGGGTGGCAGGGGCGAAAGGGGCGAGAGGGGCGGGAGGGGTGCGGAGCATACTGTAAGGCAGGCCGATGAAGCCGCTGCGAGTGCTCTGCGTGCCCGCTCCGAACTTGGCGGCGTTAAACACGGTCGACACGTTGAGCGCCTTGCGCCACCGGAGCGAGGGCTGCGCCGTCACTCCCAGGGTGCCTGCGGACAGATGGAACGAGGAGATGAGGGCGTGGAACACTGCGCGCCGATTGAAAGTGGCCCATGCGGCCACTCTCGGGGTGCTTGCACGATGGAAGAAGGAACCGAGACAGTTGAACGCTCTCTTCTGAGTCCACACATAAAGCCCTGCTGCGCGCCGATTGTAACGGAGATATGAGGCACTGAGCACTGCTGCGCGCCGATTGTAGCGGAGATATGAGGCACTGAGCACTGCTGCGCGCCGATTGTACTTTCTAACGCACCCCAGGGCCGAATGGGGGAAAGGAGGGCAGTTCGATGACTCTTGCACCACTTCCGAGGTCCTAAACTCATTCTGTAGGGTAAATACCCATGCAACAAGTGGTTACCCCTGGGTAGCCTCTGGGGTCACCTGGAGTCACTTGTGGGGACCACACCTGAGAGGGCGATGCATGCGAGGAGAATGCCAAGGGCGTGGGCGCGAACATTCAGACCCGTATTGCTCGCCATGGATCTTCTGACCGGCCGACACAGTGTTCTCGATTTGAGAGTTCTTAGAAGTGACTCCCACAGTGCTCCCGCTTTGAGATCGAACGCAACTATTCACTCGTATGCAGTTGCTGACGATGGGAGGCAGGGCTTTGTTTAGACTGCTTCTTGCGAATCGTTTTTACGACTTAACAGAACTGTTCCCAAGACGTTAAGTGTGAAACTGCGAAGTACGCTTCACAAGCTATGTACACTCGGCGTTTCTGCGTCTTCGAGCCGAGAAGGCGGCTGCGGGATAAGAAGCCTGCTCATTCGACGCTCCGAAATAGACCTAATGGTTGGATCGATGACTCCAACCCGCGCAGCCTCGAGAACGCCGCAGCAGTCTCGGTAAGCGTGTGCTGGTGTGGTGTGGAATGTACAGTGTGTCTAGCACCGTAGGTCCAGTTTTGATGTCGACTTCCTCACAGAGGAGTGGCACGGAAGAACGAGGCAAGGGTGGTACTGTAAAGCATCACTGTCGTCAGAGCGCCAAAACGAAACTAAATCACGAAATTGCCTCGCTGACATCGAAGCGCAGGGGTGGTGTCTGGAGCCGCCTGTCAGCCATTGAGACAGGATACTGAAATATGTTTGTTCTGGGCATATGCCCTGAATCGGGCTGAACAAAAAAGGGAATCTGATCCATAAGCACGGATTGTGAAGGTTGCATAACCACGTCACCCTACGCCACCCGTCCTCAGCTCTCCGCCACTCGTTATAATTCCCGTGCACTTTTCGAAAGATCTAGCTGTGAGTTGTCACCAACACTAAGAACAGCTTATCGGCGAAACAGACAGGTTACAATCCACAAGTACCCCTCAGTCCCTGGAGCATTTTTCAAAGGGGACCGAAGCTTCCAAGCTGCCTCAAAACATAATCGTAGGTTACTGTCAACTCGGAATACCCGGCCAACCAACACAGTAAGCGTTTCGCGCCAATCGCGATAGTACCAGGGACCCATGCGGATAAGGAACAAGGAAAATATAACTCCAACTTCAATGAGTGTACTAGAAACATACAGTTTTTTTGTTTTGTGTACATCATCTCAAGCTGAAAATTACTAGGCCCACAGAAACCACCGCAAGAGAAGAGAAATAAATGCTCTCAACCTGCAAAACAGCAGAATTTTTTTGCATGGTCAGTGAGCATGCACAGCATCCAATTCCCGCTTGGCAACACAAATAACTTGCTTGTAGACAAAAGCCTCAAATGACATATTACTCAAAAGCCTTCACAGAAAAACTGAGAGCTCAAGTCTTTAAGACTCGAAAGCGCCGACTCACAGGCTGGTTAAAGACAAGAGCCGCCACTCCCGCCGCCCAGAGGTCTGATGTGAGGAGGGAGAGGTTGAAGAGAGCGGCGCCGCCCAGCTGGTTAGATGGGGAAGGGGGATCGGCAAGGGGCAGGACGAGGGGTCAGTGAAAGCAGGGAATGAGTCAAGCATGAGAAGATAGTGCACAGTAATGTGAAGTGGTATTCAGCTTAAGCGCACACATGATAAGCTAGGTGGTGGACAATTGAATATCTGTAAACACACACACACGCACGCACGCACGCACGCACGCACGCACGCACGCACGCACGCACGCACGCACGCACGCACGCACGCAGGCAGGCAGGCAGGCAGGCAGGCAGGCAGGCAGGCAGGCAGGCAGGCAGGCAGGCAGGCACGCAGGCACGCGCACACACACACACACACACACACACACACACACACACACACACACACACACACACACACACACACACACACACACACACACACACCACACACACACACACACACACACACACACACACACACACACACACACACACACACACACACACACACACACACACACACACACACACACACACACACACACACACACACACACACACACACACCACACACACACACACACACACACACACACACACACACACACACACACACACACACACACACACACACACACACACACACACACACACACACACACACACACACACACACACCACACACACACACACACACACACACACACACACACACACACACACACACACACACACACACACACACACACACACACACACACACACACACACACACACACACACACACACACACACACACACACACACACACACACACACACACACACACACACACACACACACACACACACACACACACACACACACACACACACACACACACACACACACACACACACACACACACACACACACACACACACACACACACACACACACACACACACACACACACACACACACACACACACACACACCACACACACACACACACACACACACACACACACACACACACACACACACACACACACACACACACACACACACACACACACACACACACACACACACACACACACACACACACACACACACACACACACACACACACACACACACACACACCACACACACACACACACACACACACACACACACACACACACACACACACACACACACACCACACACACACACACACACACACACACACACACACACACACACACACACACACACACACACACACACAAACACCACACACACACACACACACACACACACACACACACAGACACACACACACACACACACACACACACACACACACACACACACCACACACACACACACAACACACACACACACACACACCACACACACACATTCAAGTGCACATAGAGCAGTTGTGTTTGGGGAGCATTACACGGAGCATGAGGGGAGTGAGGGAGTAGAAGGCGAAGAGGGCGATCGAGAAGAGCACCATGGGGAGGACCTGTGGTTTGAGTGAGGGGCGGAGGGATGTACCGAGGAGAAAGGGAAGGGTGGCTTAGGAGGAAACATAGATGTGCGACATCTGTACACAGAAAATCAATGCGCACATGTGGATGTAGAACAACCAGAAGCTATACATAACAGCCAAGCAGAACTTCCCCCAGCCAAGCATGTGGGACACTAGCAGCAGGCTGGGGAGCTAGGAAATAGGGTAGCCTTGATATCAGATGGGTAGAGAGTCATAAAAAGTAAGCAGTTCTAGAACATGTAGTCACAGAGGGTAGGTAATGAGGGAAACTAAATAGTGAGAGAAAGTAAATGGTGAGATATTGTGGCATCCAACTATGTGAGTGCATTGAGCATACAGTGTGGGCATCAAAGTGCAGGGAGTGCAGGTCTGCTCCCTCCAGGAGAAGTCTGGATCGGGCAGATGGGTGTGGGGGGGAGATAGGCGGATGCAATGGGGAGAAATAAGAGTGCGCGAGGATAGACGAGTTACGAAACACCAGCCATACATGTTAGCAAACAATGCATACATGGAGTGACGTACCCACGTGCTACAAAGGATGGATGGCAATGATGAGTTATGAGTCGACTAGAACACATGTGTGCTGTGCTGTGCACACACTGCACTGCACACATTGACTGGCGTATCCACGTGCTGTACAAAGGTTGAATGCCAATGACCGCCGTGTGATACTATCGAGGTACTTAATCGAATTATGAGTCGGCGCAATGGAGGTATCCAAGTGCGATACAAGGGTTGGATGGCGACAGTGCTCTCACACACATGTTCTACTAATGAGGTACTGAGATAGTGCGCTTACAGCTGTGTGAAGCTAATGAGGGATCCCGCGCAACCAATGAACGCCAGCAGCTCTGTTGTCTCGACTCGATGCGCAAGATACTCCTGTGGGAGAGAGGAGGGGCATTTGGGGAAAGAAAGTGTGGCAGGGTTTCGGGTTTTCAAAAGCCATCTCGTGCACTTTAAGAAGGCCAGCAGCTCTGTTGTCTCCACTCGATGCGCAAGGTACTCCTGTGAGAGGCGGGGCACTGGAGACAAGAGAAAGAGAAAGAGTGTGGGGGTAGGGATTCATCCATGCAGAAAATGCATATGTGTGGCCATCCAAGAAAAGGTGCACGGTGGGATGCTCACAACACACTCACCACGCACTCACCACGCACTCACCACACACTCACCACGCTCTCACCACGCACTCACCACGCACTCACCACGCACTCACCACGCACTCACCACGCACTCACCACGCACTCACCACACACTCACCACGCACTCACCACGCACTCACCACGCACTCACCACGCACTCACCACGCACTCACCACGCACTCACCACGCACTCACCACGCACTCAGCACACACTCACACCACCGACACATTCTGACAGCGGACATAGAGTGGAATTGCCGCAGCGCTCACCACAGTCACATTGGAAGCAGCATACAGAGTGGCACCGAGAAGCACAAGCACATTCCCCAAAGTCGCGTTGCTGCTGCTGCTGCCAATGGCAGTGCTGCTGCCTCCGTGCTTGGATGGGCCTGTGAGTGAGTGAGGGAGGGCGGTGGGTAGAGGAGGGGAGGAGGGCGGGGGCGAGAATCAAGGGAGGTCTGAGAGGTGGGAGCAGAGCTGCAAGGTGCGTGACGGCTGGGAGCGTTGCTGCTGCTGCCACTGGCAGTAAAAATCACTTTTGAGAATTCTAAAGAATGATTTCCATGGAGCGTTGCTTGCTGCTGCCACTGGCAGTGCCGTCTGTGTGTTCGACGGGCGTGGGGATGATGGAGTGGCAGCAGCCAGCAGGTAGGGCAAGAAGGGGAGACAAACGTGGGAAAAAAATGAAGGAATATTTCGTTGGGCAGCCTCAAAGCAAGCACATTCTTCAGTTGCGTTGCTGCCGCTGCCAGTGGCAGTGCCGTCTGTGTGTTTGGATGGGCCTGGGGATGAGGGAGGGGCGGTAAGGAGAGAAGGGAGGACAGCTGCAAGATGCGAGGTGCCTGGGAGCGTCGCTGCTTGAAGCGTTGCTACACAGAGGATGAGTGCGTTGCTACACAGAGGATGAGTGCGTTGCTACACAGAGGATGAGTGCGTTGCTACACAGAGGATGAGTGCGTTGCTACACAGAGGATGAGTGCGTTGCTACACAGAGGATGAGTGCGTTGCTACACAGAGGATGAGTGCGTTGCTACACAGAGGATGAGTGCGTTGCTACACAGAGGATGAGAGCGTTGCTACACAGAGGATGAGTGCGTTGCTACACAGAGGATGAGTGCGTTGCTACACAGAGGATGAGTGCGTTGCTACACAGAGGATGAGTGCGTTGCTACACAGAGGATGAGTGCGTTGCTACACAGAGGATGAGTGCGTTGCTACACAGAGGATGAGTGCGTTGCTACACAGAGGATGAGTGCGTTGCTACACAGAGGATGAGTGCGTTGCTACACAGAGGATGAGTGCGTTGCTACACAGAGGATGAGTGCGTTGCTACACAGAGGATGAGTGCTGGGAGAAAGGATGCTAAGACCACGCACGCCCTCTCAGTTGCTGCTATTCTCTCTCCCCCTCTCCCCCTTCTCCCCCCCCTCTCTTTACTCCCAGCCAGCCATCTGAATTCTCAAAAACGCAATCTGAACCCTGCAGCTACCAACACAGCCTCTCACTTCCCAACTGCATCGGTCGAAAGAGGATCAGCACTTCAAGGGCGGAAGCGCAGAGCAGCTCACCTAAGGTATAACAGACATGGCAGTGCGTGAAAAGAGGAGAGGGACACATGGGCTGCAGGGATATACGCACACCCTCCCACGTCTGCTGCCAGTGCGACCCTGACTTGCCTCAAATGCTGTTCCCAGATCTCTGAAATACACCTTCTTAGCTCTCGCTACCAACACAACCTTTCAGCTCCTCCCACTACCAGCACAACCTCTCAGCTCTCACCTGCGTTGGCAGTGCAGAGCAGCAGCAGCATGGCAAGACCAGCAGAGCAAAGCAGGGAGCCGATGGCGTGGGAGGCATAGTAGCTCGGGAAGGGAGGGGCAAAGGAGGTGCAAGGAGAAGCACGGATCCCTTTAGCTCTCACCTGCGTTGGCAGTGCAGAGAGCAGCAGCATGGCAAGGCCAGCAGTGCAGAGCAGCGCGCCGATGGCGTGGGAGGCGTGGTAGGGCATAAAGGAAGGGACAGAATGGGTGCTACAATAGAAAGGACGGTCTCCTTGGTTCTCACCTGCATCCAAGAGCAAGAGCATGGCGAGGCCGGTAGTGCAGAACAGCGCGCCGATGGCATGGTAGCGTGTGGAGAGGCAGAAGGGGTCTAGGATAAGAAGGAAAAGTCTATGAGCTCTCACCGGCGTCAGACAGCAGCAGCATGGCGAGGCCCGCCGTGCAGAGCAGCGCGCCGATAACATGGGAGGCGTGGTAGCGCGTGGAGAGGCAGAGCGCTGCTAGCAGCATAGCGGCTGGGATGGCCCAGCAGTCCAGGAGAGTGACTCGCGTCAATGAGGTGAAACGGAAGGCGAGGACAACTGGATAGGGAGGGGTGGAGAGTGGTGGGGTGAGGGGCAGCGTGGGGAGGGAAGGAATGAGATGAGAGGCAGCAAGGGGCAATGAGAGAAGGATGGCCCAGCAGTCCAGCAGGGAGACATACTTTCAAGGAGGTGAAACGGAAGGCGAGCAATACTGACTGGGACAAAGTGGAAAGAGGGAGAGGAATGAGAGACAGCATCGGGATGGAAGGAAAGAGACGAGAGGCAGCAAGGGTGAATCAGGTGGGCACCCCAGAAAGCAGTGAAGGAGAGCAACTCGAGTGAAGGAGGTGAAGGGGAATGGGTGGACACTGAAGGACAACTGAAGCGAAAGGAAAGGGTAAGATGAGACGATGCAAGTAAAATGAGACGAATGAGATGATGAGAGGGAGATGAGAGAGCGATGAGAGGGAGATGAAAGGGAGATGAGAGGGAGATGAGAGAGCGATGAGAGGGAGATGAAAGGGAGATGAGAGGGAGATGAGAGAGCGATGAGAGGGAGATGAAAGGGAGATGAGAGGGAGATGAGAGGGAGATGAGAGGGAGATGAGAGGGAGATGAGAGGGATCAACGACCAATTAGATGAGCACACGGCGGGCACAACGCGGGCACACGGCAGGCACGATAAGAGTACAAGACACGCACTCACCAAAGTAATTCCCTCGACGTCGAGGAAAGACGCGAGCAGGAGCACACGCCACGGCACCTGAAATGGCGTGTGGCGGGAAGGAGGGCACAGATTCAAGGCAGATGGAAAGGCGATTTGAGGGAGCCGTTGACTTGTAACTTTAGTCAAACAATCAGAAGATAGTTTGCGTGAACAGTTACGACGGCAATCCGGAGCAAGCCTTGAAATGATTGTCGCCCAAGAATCTCATCCAGAGGCATGGCTCAAGAGATTTCTGATGCGCCTTTTGAGTCGACTCAAAAGCCATCTCGTCCAGAGACATGGCTCAAGAGATTTCTCATGCGCCTTAGAAATCAATCACAAAGATAACCCAGGATCAATAATTGGCAAAAGGCTCGTCAGGAGCGCTGGAAGCAGATGGAGCCAATAATGAGGACAAGTGAAAAGAAGCGTGGTGATAGAAGTGTGGTGATAGAAGTGCCGTGCGCAAGGCGCCATAATGAGCTGTACCGTACGTATAGGTAGGGAGGCGTGGTAACAGCTAGAGTTGTGCTTTGAGTAAACAAAAAGGCCTTACAGTGAGGGGTGTCTTGCGGTGTAGCAGCACGGCGCCATACACAGCAGCAAGCAGCACGTAGTTGAGCAGCGATTGGGTCGTGGGGATGCTCACTCCTGCCACGTGGCAACCATCCGAACCACCAATCAGAGACAATCAGGGTGCTACCAATAACACGTTTCACAAGTGTGATGAGCCGGCACAAGCTGAAGAATCATACATCTCCGCGAATCGCACACCTCCACGTGGCATCGTTTTGCACCTCTGGCGGCCAGCAGCGCGGAACACGTGGCGGTGACGGTGAGCAGAAGTGACATGAGCTGCCCGAGAGCCAGGGCTTTAAGGCCGTCCCGCGAGTACACCCACCGCCACTCGTCCCACGCGCACAGCCCTCCAGACCCTGCAACGATCCCTGTTGTGGACCCTGTAGCGTACTCGGTAGTAGTGGTCCCTATACTAGTCCCTGTATCAGTCCCTGTAGTACTCCCTGTAAGGGATCCAGTAGTCTGTCCTATGGCTGTGACGGAATCCCGACCTATCCACACTGGTAACCATGAACATGACCATCGCCCTGGCTGCTCCCCCTTCGTGAAAGCTTCCTGAGAGTCCACGTCATCGAGAACAACGACCGTTCCGTGACCAGGACATGCGCTGCGTTCTCTGGACGGCTGTGCCACGTGGCAGGCAATCGTCGATCCCGTGGTACAGTCGTCGCTGACGGTGGCGGTGGTTTCTGATCGTCGATCCCAAGGTTCGAGTAACGCTTCGACGATCGGGGTACGTGCAAGGTCGCAACAATCTCGCGAAGAGCGACGGACATGGTCTGGGGATTGCCGAGAGGATACCGGAGAGCGGATGAGGGGTGAGCATTCGTGATGCAATCCATCGTCTTCCATGGGGAAGGGCTGCACGAGGCGAGATTGAAGATGCAATGCCGTGCCACAGGGAAAATTCCACTCAAATACCTTGCGAAGGGTTCTGACGAAGCGCAGCGTGACAGGACTAATCTCCTCCCTTACAGCAAAGACTCGTCAGTCAGTGAATTCGCTAGAATGAATAGGAAGGAATCCAGGGAGGGTTGGCCCATACATGGGAAGCGACACCAATTTCTCATACACAACGATCTTAATAAAAATAAGTGTTTTTATACGAATGAGAGTTCTTACTGAACCTATAGATGTACAATCTGAAATATAATAACATATCTGATAGGAGATCGCCTGAAAAGATAGTGCTACGAAACGGAGCATTCCTGAATTATGAGCTATATTTACCAGCACTTTTGTGGTCACTTGAGGTGTACTACCGGTAACTTGTAAAGTTTGAGAACTTGCTACAAAATGTATCAGTCCGACTCCTGGACTGTGCCCGTGCTTTGGGATGTCTGCCTGCACAACCTAGCTATAGTTCGTCTCGTCCCGACTGTCTCTAGGTTCTCTCGGTATTCTCTTTCAGTCTCCTTACCAGCTTTCTTGCCTTGACGAGTTTAATCCCTTCAGTTTTAACACCATGCAGACGCTTTCTTGACACCTAACTGGACGCGAATCGTTTTGTCTGACATCGCGATCAAATTAGCCAAACCGAAAGCTTGTTACAATCCTGCGGATTCCACCATGCTCTCCGGGTTTTCGGGGCAGGTTTCTCGACTGGAAGGGTCAGAAGATTCGCTCAAAGGATCAAATCCTGGTGAAGGAGATGACGGTGGGGGAGGGGGCCTACAGAAAGGCGGGTTGCAGAGAGGAGGGTTGCAGCCGGCTGGCGGGCTGGGAGGAGAGCGATTACTCTTTAAAGCCCCGGCCGAGCGAAAATCTGTTTTGGGTGAGGGGCGCGTCGTTCGTTGTCTAAGCTGTGTAGCGGTTTCTAGGTCTGAGATGGGATGCGATGGGTCGGGGGTTGAGTTGCGTGATATGTACTTGTAAAGCGCGATGTAGGTCCCGTATTTTTCTAAGGTAATTCGCCTCCCCCCCTCCTCCTCCCTCTCACCACACCCACCCCACTGCCCCCACCTTCGTCGGCAATCCCCAGGTCTGGACGCGCTCGCCCGAGCCAAGCGAGCAGCCGCGGGAATCCCTGAGAAGCCGCCGGTTACTGTAGCAGCGGCCAGATTCGCGGAAGAGGGGGAAGATGAAGGGGAAAAGTTGACGGTTGAGGGGAAGGAAGGGGGAGGCGGGAAGTGGGTAGCGGACGTAGACGATGGGGGAGGGGGGAGAGGGGATGGAGAGGGAGTGGGAGGAGGGAGTGTGGGGGAGAAGAGCGGTGGAGGAGGGAGCAAGGAGAGGCGGCGGTATCGTTCTGCGCGGAGTGATGATACGCCCACACACGTGTCAACGATTACAGGTGAGTCACAGTGTCATACGACCTGCCACCTAGACGATCCATGCCACCTCACTGATCCTCATGCCACCTGGCAGATCCTCATCCCACGTGGCCGATTCTCATATTCCAACTAAGTATTCACCATCCAACCCATCCTCATGGCATCTGACCAGTTCTTCGTTAACACCCATGCCTTTCGCCCACCCAACCCAACCACGTGTCCTTCCCCTTGCCAGAACTATCAGGCGCGTCGCCCCGGGTGCAGGAGTCACCTCGTCGGGCCTCCTCACATGCGGACAAAGACACGCGAGGGGACACAGGTGCTGGGACATCCGAGGTAGGTTCATTCACACACAGCCTGGTTGAGGGACGGTTGCCTGCTCTGCGCACGACGATTCATGTGTGTGTGTGGGTGAATCATTTTGGCCGAGTGCATTCTCAAGTTCAAAAGGACTCACACTCACACACGTACATGGATCAGAATTTTGGCTGCGTGTGTATGTGAGAGGAATATGATTTCAACCAGCGCCCCTCTCCCACTCCCTCTCTCCCTCCCTCCTTCCTTCCCTCTTTCCCTTCTTCCCTTCCCCCTCCTCCCCCCTCCTCCCCCCGCCTTCCCCCCCCACCCACCACATCGTTTTCTTGATGCAGGGAGACGAGGCAAGCCGAGGCGCCAAAAGAACCCGAGTGGAGCCTGCTGACGTGGCAAATGGTGCTGCTGACAGGGCAGGCTCCGCTAGTTTGGTGACTAATGGAGGAGGTGAGGGGCGTCAGTCAGTCAGTCAGAGCAGGAGGTTGTCTAGTCCAGAATGTTGATGAGCCTTACTGACTTGTCAAGTGCTTGAAACGTGGTTGCACATGAAAAGCATTTATACTGCTCAAGTCTGGTGGTCCGACTCTCTTTGTCCTCCTCCCTGTGCATCAGTGAGTTGATTTTTGAGGCGCCTCAAAAATCAACAGACAATAATGTTATCCGATAACAGCATCAGTGCTTGTTTGTTGTCCAGCCACCTCAAATGAGTTCCGTCTTGAGGGTTTCGTGTTCCCTTCCGGTCCTGCTTCGTTTCGCCCCCTCACCGTGTTCCGTTCTCTTCACCCCTCTGCTGCTCTCTGTGCTTGCTTACGCCTTGTTGATTCCAAGCGACAGATGTGGGGAGCAGGGGAGACGCGGATGGGAGGAGAGGGGATGGGGAGAGAGGGGAAGGGAGAAGGGGGGGGCCGTTGGGACTCAAGAGACAGCAACAGGAGAGAGAGGGGGCAGGGAGGGGGATAGGGAGAGGGAGAGTGAGAGAGACAGGGAGAGAAGGGGAGGGGAGCGGGGCAACGATCGAGGCCGGGACAGGGACTACGACAGGGGCTCATATGGCCACGGTGAGTGCGCGGGGCTTGTGTGTGTGAGAAGGGGAAAAGGAAACAACTTTCTATATTGGACAGCGGTGTTGGACCTAACCTTTGTACATGCGTTAAGGGTTCCCAATACTGTCTCGAACTGATAGATCGTCACATGCTGCTTTGTCAACTACAGCCAAAACCTCCTAATTGAACAAATCCGACCCCCCACCCCCCCCCCCCTCGCCCCCCTCCCCTCCTTCCTCCGTTGCTTGGAGAACTCTTTCTGCGTTCTTCCCTCTCGTGCCATCAGGCTCCTCCAGATCACGCTGGGATGACAGCACCCCGCGCAGAGACACTGACAGCACCCCTTCCAGGGAGGGCAGGGAGAGAGACAGAGACAAGGAGAGGGACAGAGAAAGGGACGGAGACAGAGGCAGCACGCCCCGCAACAGGGGGTCCAAGTGGGACATGCCCTCGCCGTCGCCCTCCCCCCGCTGGACCCCTTCCCCCGCCCCCTCTCCTGCGCCGTACCGCCGCGAGCCGTCCTTTGTGCCGCCCTCGCCGTCTGACTCGCGCCTGCTGTCGCCGTGGGATGGCGGAGGAGGCAGCACACCTTCTGTTGGTGGTGAGTGTTCTGTTCTCAGCCAACCCTTCTCCTTCCTCACCCATACAACCCCTTTGTCCCTTCTTCCATTTACATCCCCAACCAATATTTATCAACCTGGATTTTTCATCCTGGATTCCTGACCTGATTCTTTACTACTGATTTTTCCTATTTCCCTTTCCTCCAGGTTCAGTGTGGGATCTCCCGTCCCCCTCTCCCGTACCTGTGAGGGCAGGCTCGGCCACGCCTGTCTCGCAGGGTCGGGACGGGGAGGAGAGGGAGGGAAGCGTGCAAGCAGAGGGGGGAAGGGCTCGGCGGTCGCACAAGCTTCGGTTCCGAGCGGACTCGTCAGCTTCGGAGGGCGGTGCGAGCACACGCCGAAGCACAGCAGGAGGCCAGGTGGGTCAAAGAGTATTAGAGTGGGTGTTTGGAAGGGGTTGTTATGCTATATTGAGTGCTCTTTGGAAGGGGTTGTTATGCTATATTGAGTGCTCTTTGGAAGGGGTTGTTAACTTGTTATGCTATATTGAGTGCTGTTTGGAAGGGGTTGTTATGCTATATTGAGTGCTGTTTGGAAGGGGTTGTTATGCTATATTGAGTGCTGTTTGGAAGGGGTTGTTATGCTATATTGAGTGCTCTTTGGAAGGGGTTGTTAACTTGTTATGCTATATTGAGTGCTGTTTGGAAGGGGTTGTTATGCTATATTGAGTGCTGTTTGGAAGGGGTTGTTATGCTATATTGAGTGCTGTTTGGAAGGGGTTGTTATGCTATATTGAGTGCTGTTTGGAAGGGGTTGTTATGCTATATTGAGTGCTGTTTGGAAGGGGTTGTTATGCTATATTGAGTGCTGTTTGGAAGGGATTGTTATGCTATATTGAGTGCTGTTTGGAAGGGGTTACAGAAGCACTGTGGGAGGAGGCCAGGTGGGGTTCAGGTTCACGGAGCTGATCAGCCGCTCCTCTTCTGGCCAGGTGGCTCGTTAGTGGCCAGGTGGCACGTTAGTGGCCAGGTGGCACGTTAGTTAGTGGCCAGGTGGGGAGGAGTGTTTCCCTTGTGTCTCCCACTCCTCTTCTGCACATTAGTCCGCCCTTGTCCTGTTCCACTCCACTTGTGCCCCTCTCCCCTTGCACGCTCCCAGGCGCCATCCCAGCAGCGGGAGAGGATATCTGAGACGTCTCAAACACCGCCTGTCCCTCTTTCCTTTGCCCCTCTCCCCTTGCACGCTCCTGCATGCCCCCAGGCGCCATCGCAGCAGGAGAGCGAGTGGGACACGGATTACCGTGCTGACAGGGAGGCGGGGGAGGGAGGGGGGGCAGGCGCGGAGGAGGATGAGGGCCTGCGCCGGGGAGATGGAGGAGGCGGAGAGGCAGGCCGACCGCTCCTGGTGAGTCTGGTCTCTGGGTTTGGTTGGGGTTGAGAGAGTATGAAAAGAAGAAAACAGTTGGCACGGTCGAAACAGGAGTGCATGGGAGGGGCGGTAGGAGGACGAGGTGCGTGATGAGGGGTGCATGCATGGTGCGTTCTGCAGTCTGACTGACAGTGACAGGTCAACTGTGTCTCACTCTCTTGTAATCCCATACGCTTTCTCACCCGCCCGCCCTCGCAGGTACGACTCAGAGGAAGCAGGCAGGCAGCGTGTTTGTTTGACTCGGGGCGAGGGCAGGCACCAACCCGCTCGGAGGGTCCACGTGTAAAAAGAGAGGTTTTGAGATGTCGCTCGGAGGTCCACGTGTAAAAAGAGAGGTTTTGAGACGTCTCAAAACCACTCTTTTTACAGCAGGCAGCGTGTTTGTTTGATTTGGGCGAGGGCAGGCACCAATTCGTTCGGAGGGTTCAGAGATGAGCAAGCCTTCGAGAAGGGGGAGGAAGGCAAGAAGGAAGCGGCGGCAAGGCAGCAACGGCGCATGGTGCGGGGGGACGGGTCGGCCATGTCTCATCCTCTTTCCCCCTCCTTTCCTTCCACCCTCCCTCCCTTAATTCCTTCCACCCTCCCCACCCCCTTCCCCTCCCAGGTACGACTCAGAGGAGGCGGGCAGTGTGTTTGACTCGGGCGAGGGCTCTAACCCGTTTGGGGGATTCGGCGACGAGCAAGCGGAGGAGCGCAAGAAGGAAGCAGCGGCGAGGCAGCAGCGCATGGTGCGGTCAGACGGGTCGGCTATGTCTCTGGCGGCCAGCAAGCGCCTCACCTAACTGTCGGCCATCTTTCCCTTACTTTCTTCCTCCCTCCCTTCCTCCACCCTCCCTCCCTTGATCCCGTCCGCCATACTCCTTCCTACACACCGCCTCCCAGGTACGACTCGGAGGAGGCTGGAAGTGTTTTCGACTCCGGAGAGGGAAGCAACCCGTTTGGGGGATTCGGCGACGAGCAAGCGTTTGAGAAGAAGGAGGAGCGCAAGAAGGAAGCAGCGGCGAGGCAGCAGCGCATGGTGCGGTCAGACGGGTCGGCCATGTCTCTGGCGGCCAGCAAGCGCCTCACCCAGCTGTCGGCGGACCAGGGCGTCGTGGGAGGACCGGCAGCTCATGCGGTCGGGAGTGGTGCGCAACGCTACAGAGCTCTCCACGGACATTGACGACGAGGATGAGAACCGCGGTGCTGCTGCTCGTGCACGGTGAGCCTCTTGAGTCGTCCAAGTAAGGTGGCTGTCGATTCAACGTTAAAGCCGCAATGCCTCAGAACTCTCCACACTTTTGAGGCGCCTCAAAATTCCTCTCCACACGGATGTTTATGACGAGGATGAACACTTCTGAGGTGCCTCCAAATTTTTGAGGACTTTTTAGGAGCCTTAAAAGTCAAAAGTCGAATAAAAAGACTTCTGAGGCGCCTCAAAAGTCCTCTCCACATGGATATTGATGACGAGGATGAGCAACCGCATGCTGCTGCTGCTGCTGCTGCTTGTGCATGGTGGGTGGGTGTCCCCGCTCCTCCTTGGTGTGACTGAGCTGGGGAGCATGGAAAAGAGAGTGTGCCCAAATTTGTTCCCGCCTTCACCACACATGTTGTGGAGTGCCCTTGGACATGCTGTGCAGCGTATGTGCCCTGCGTACGGGAAAAAAGCACGAAGCATGTACTATTTTTGCACCCAGTGTATTATAACCCGCTGCCTCTCCATTCTCTAGGCACCTCAAAAATAGTTCTCCCGTACAACCCGCTGCCCGTCCCTTTCCCATCTGTGCATGAGCAGACACGAAGCCACCGTTCCTGGACGGGCGAATCGTGTTCACGAAGCAGCAGGAGCCGGTGATGCCGCTGAAGGACCCACGTCCGACATGGCCATCATCGCCCGCAAGGGCTCAGCGCTAGTCAGAGAGGTGTGTGTGTGGTTGGTAACAGGTGGGTATGAGCAGTGAGAGTAACGGTTAGTCAGTGGGTGTGCTGTGCTGGTCAAGGTGAGGAGCCGGTGTGATGCCTTTCAAGGACCCCACGTCTGACATGGCCATCATCGCCCGCTAGGGCTCTGCTCTTGTCAGAGAGGTACGTTGGTGTTGGGTTCAGGGTGATGCTGTACTGATGGGAACAGTCACGGGTGGCTGGTGAAGGTAAGTAGTAGCCGGTGATGCCTCTCAACTCAAGGTTCCCACCTCTGACATGGCCATCATCACTTGCAAGGGCTCTGCTGTCATTAGAGAGGTGTATGCGGGGTGAAGTCAGAGAGGGGGTGTGGGTGGTAAGGATCAGGTACCAGGGGGGTGTGGTGTGCTGGTTATTTATTGCTAGAGACACCACACACATATCCAGAGTCGGTGATGCGTTTCAAGGACCCCACGGCTGACATGGCCATCATCACTCGCGAGGGCTCTGCTCTCATTAGAGAGGTGCGTGGGTGGGTGGTGAAGTCAGCGAGGGGCCTGAGGGTTGTGTGTTCACTTGTGCCATACTCTTTTTTACCTGCTATGGATGTCCGTGGAGTTTTACCTGCGATGTCCGTGGCGTGGTGTTTGCTGGGCTCTTCAACTCAGTGCACGGAGTTGTCTTCAGATGTCCCTCTTTCCTGTTTCTCACCCACCATCCATTTTCCTGTCGTCCTGTCCTGCCTGCCCTCTTGTGCCCCCCACAGATTCGGGAGAAGCAGCAGCAGAACAAGAGCAGGCAGAAGTTCTGGGAACTTGCAGGAAGCAAGCTGGGGAACATTCTCGGCGCCAAGAAATCTGCCGCTGATGTGAGTGTCATATCATAGGCATTGAGAGCATGCATGGGCATGTGGGGATGTGGGAACGCGTGTGGGTGGGTGGACACCAGTGGAGTGTGTCAGTGGTGCTGCAAGCACGTGGCACGCATGTGGCATGCGCATGCCACCTGCGACACGCTACACATCACACATCATGCCACATGTGGTATGCCACATCAGATCATGCCACATGCGGTGTGCCACATCAGATCATGCCACATGCAACATGCCACATGCACGCACGCACACACACGCCACATGCCAGAGCCTCACTTTCACTATTCTTTCTATGAAATGATCCCAAACCCCTAATGCCGCCCTTCCCACCAGGTGAATGCGGATACAGCCAAGGTGGACGAGGAGAGCAAGGTGGACCATAAGGACAACGGGGATTTGGCAAACAGAGCCTTCAGCCCCTGAACCTATTTTTGAGGAGCCTCAAAAATCGAGCAGAGCAAGGTCGACCATAAGGACAATGGGGATTTGGCAAACTGAGCCTTCAGGCCCTGAACCTTCAACCTTCCAAACAATCCAATCCCCATGCTGCTCCCACCACCAGGTGGACGCGGAAGGTGAGGTGGACTATAAGGACAATGTGAAGTATGCAGCTGAATCCATAAACCCCCGAACCCCCAACCTGAAATGATCCCACCAGGTGGATGCGGATACAGCCAAGGTGGACGTGGAGGGAGAGGTGGACTATAAGGACAATGTGAAGTTCGCCGACCACATGAAGAGCACGGGCGGCGCTGCCAGTGACTTTGCCAAGAACAAGTCGATAGCCGAGCAGCGCATGTACCTGCCCATCTACTCCGTCCGCGACGAGCTGCTGCAGGTGAGAATCACCACTGAGTTTACGCTGCTGTGCGTGAGTAGCTCTCAACACAAAGCACAGGGCGCTGCCAGTGACTTTGCCAAGAACAAGTCGATGGCAGAGCAGCGCATGTACCTGCCCATCTACTCCGTCCGGGACGAGCTGCTGCAGGTTGAGTCACCACTAGGATGGAGATGAATACAGTGCATGCACCTGCCCCCAGCTATTCCACGAGTGAGGGACGAGCTCGCGCAGGTGAGAAGCCTTTGAGAAGTAGAGACGTCTCACAACATCCAATATGTTGTGAGGTAGTCTCACAACATCCAATATGTTGTGAGGTAGTCTCACAACATCCAATATGTTGTGAGGTAGCCTCACAACATATTGGCCCTCTTTAATTCCATCGCGGAGCAGTGGCGACTACCTCCCCATTTATTCTGCCAGGGACGAGCTGCTGCAGGTGGGACTAGGTTTGAGTTTAGACGTCTGACAAGGGATGTATGTACCTGCATGGGATGAGATGAGAGATGTCTCAGATATCCTCAGAGGGATTAGAACGTGCAGACGGGTGCTTCGCTCGAGTGTATGTGCCCCTTAACGTCCAGGAACAGCTGCGCGTGTGTGTACCTACCTCTGGTCCAGTCAGTCTGCAAAAAGCATGCCGGTGTGCCTTTCTCATGCATCTGTGCCACTCATCCCGGCGTCCTCATGCCTTCATGCCTCGCTTTGGCCCATTGTGTGGCGTGTCTCACCACCGCAGGTGATTCGCGAGAACCAAATTGTGGTGGTGGTGGGCGAGACAGGCTCCGGCAAAACAACACAGATGACGCAGGTGAGTGAGTGTTGGGGACGTGGCACAGAGATGAGTATATGAGTTGCCTCAAAAGTCACCAGATTGTGGTGGTGGTGGGCGAGACAGGCTCTGGCAAAACAACACAGATGACACAGGTGAGGGTTGGGATGGACGTGACACAACTCAAATGACCCAGGTGAGCAACCCAGTGTGACTCAGAACTAGTGTGAGGACATGGTTGGGTGGTGTGGTGCTCTCGCCCTTACTGTATCCTTTTCTATGGCAGTTTTATGTGTTACTCTAACAAAAAAAGGATCAAGCACCTATCCAAACACTCTGTTTTTCATTTGTCCCCGTTAGTAGCTGAATCGTTTGTTTTTGTACCCATGTGAGTGAGCTGCTCGCGGTACATGCGCAGGAGGACGGTCACACCATGTGTGGCATGGTGGGATGCATGCAGTGCAGCCCATTCAAAACCGATTCACGTTTGTTTCCAAACCCTCTCCCACCTACAAGTACCTGCACGAGGACGGCTTCACCACGTATGGCATGGTGGGGTGCACGCAGCCGCGCACAATGAATTGCATGTTTGTCTTAACAGCTTAATCCGTAACCCCTATCCCCGTACCTACTGGCCCACCAGTACCTGCACGAGGATGGCTACACCACATACGGCATGGTGGGGTGCACACAGCCGCGGCGCGTGGCAGCGATGAGTGTGGCCAAGCGCGTGGCGGATGAGATGGAGTGCGAGCTGGGGTCCACTGTGGGCTATGCCATAACGCTTCGAGGACGTCACAAGCAGCAACACTCTTGTGAAGGTGGGTGGTGGTGTGTGTGGAATGGAAAGGGGGGGAGTGGATGGCGGATGAGATGGAGTGCGAGGTGGGGTCCACCGTGGGCTATGCCATTCGCGTTGAAGACGTCAGCAGCAGCAACACTCTCGTGAAGGTGAGTGGAGCATAGTAGGGGCGAGGTGATGTAAGGCAGTGTGGAATGGGAAGGGGGAGAGGGAGGGAATGAGATGGAGTGCGAGGTGGGGGTCCACCGTGGGCTATGCCATTCGCGTTGAAGATGTCACCAGCAGCAAATCTCTTGTGCAGGGGGTTGAGATGGGTTGTAAGGGGGATGTAAGGGTGGTCCTGCTATGCCACCTGTAAAAGGCCACCACCATGCTGCAATGCGATGCTGCCGATGATGATGATTCTTACATTGGGTCCACTCAGAAACGGGTCGACACAGGTAACTCAGTGATGCAAGGTGATAAAAAAGTGTTGTTTTGAGACGTCTCAGAACAACACTTTATCACTCAGAAACGGGTCGACACACACAGGTAACTCAGTGATGCAAGGCGACTTCTGGGTTGATCCAGAAATGAGGCTCGATCTTTGGTACTGCCTGCCAGTGATGACCATATGATTTCTCGATGACGAGGCACCAGCACGGACTAAACACTTACGCACTCTCGCTCCGAGGTGCTGTGTGGTGCTGCGCAGCCAATGAGATGAGAAATTTGTGCGTGTCTGAGGCGCTGTGTGGTGCGGGTACTGTGTGGGGTGCTGTGTGGTACTGTGTGGTGCTGGTGTGGTGCTAAACGATCTGGTGGACTTTGTAGCAGCTGGTCGTCCCGTGCCTCTCTGCTCACACTCTCTTCTCACCCCCCTCTTTTCACCAACATCAGTACATGACGGAGGGAGTGCTTGCTGAGGGAGTCGCTCAGAGAGCCGGACCTCGACCAGTACAGGTGTGTGCCCCGCCCAGCGTCCCTCTTCCTCTACCTCTACCTCTACCTCTACCTCTACCTCTACCTCTACCTCTGCTCTGCCTCTGCCTCTGCCTCTACCTCTGCCTCTGCCTCTGCCTCTGCCTCTACCTCTACCTCTACCTCTACCTCTGCCTCTGCCTCTGCCTCTGCCTCTACCTCTACCTCTGCCTCTACCTCTGCCTCTACCTCTGCCTCTACCTCTACCTCTGCCTCTACCTCTGCCTTTACCTCTACCTCTGCCTCTACCTCTGCCTCTACCTCTACCTCTGCCTCTGCCTCTACCTCTGTCTCTACCTCTGCCTCTACCTCTACCTCTTCCTCTCCCTCTGCCTCTGCCTCTGCCTCTGCCTCTCCCTCTGCCTCTGCCTCTGCCTCTGCCTCTGCCTCTGCCTCTGCCTGACCTATACAGGTGTATGCCATGCTCTTGCCATGCCTTTGCCTTTGCGCCTATACTGGGTAGGTGGTGCATGTCGTCTCTCTGTGTGCCATCGTGTCCGATCAATCAGGGCCTCTGAGCGTTTTGTAACCACAAACTGTCCTGAACTGCCTCCCCCCGTTCCTCCAACGCTCTCGTTCCCTCTCCCCCCTCACCCACAGTGCCATCATAATGGACGAGGCACACGAGCGCTCATTGAACACGGACGTGCTGTTCGGGGTGCTCAAGCACGTGGCGGCGAGACGAAGGGACTTCAAGCTCATCGTCACGTCCGCCACGCTCAATGCTGAGAAGTTCTCCACTTCTTCGCAGGTGAGGGTGCTGGGGCAGGTGAGGGGTGCTGGGGCAGGTGAGGGGTGCTGGGGCAGGTGAGGGGTGCTAGCGACTAGTAGGGCATCCATTCAGTGTCTTGCTTGCAGCGATCCCTCAGTACCTGAGAGCGCACTGCTTGTGGGTTTCCCTGCCTGTTGTTGTGTGGCAGTGCAAGTGCATGGTTTTCTGCGTTCCTTAATAGGTGACATGCGTTCCTTTTTAGTCGACTCATGGGTCCCCTCTATGAAACCACTATAGACCATCCTCACACCATTCCACTCCTCCCTCCCTCTACCTTCCTCCCCGCTGCAACTCCCGTCTTCTTTCCCCCAGTGTCCCAGTCTTCTTCATCCCAGGGGCGCACCTTCCCCGTCAGTCTCATGTGAAGCAAGCCCCTCTCTCATCCTTAACCCCTCACTTCCTTCCCCCATCTCCTCTACCTTCCTTTCTTGCAGCGTACCGGTCTTCTTCATCCCAGGGCGCAGCCTTCCCAGTGAGCATCATGTGGAGCAAGTCGCCTTGTGAGGACCCTGTAGACGCGGCAGTCAAAGCAAGCGCTAGCCATCCACGTCACCATGCCACCTGGCGACATCCTCATCTTCATGACCGGCCAAGAAGACATCGAGGCAACCTGTTTTCTCCCTCGCCGACCGCCTCGAGCAAATGGCGGCCGGCGCCGCCCGCCCCCCGCCGCCCCTCTCCATCCTCCCAATCTACTCCCAGCTGCCGGCCGATCTCCAAGCGAAGATTTTCCAGAAGGCCGAGGAAGGTACCAGGAAATGCATCGTTGCGACGAACCATCGCCGAGACGTCGCTGACCGTTGATGGGATTCTGTACGTGATCGACGGTGGATACAGCAAGATCAAAGTCTACAACCCCCGCATGGGTATGGACGCGCTACAGGTCTTCCCCATCAGCCGAGCCGCGGCCGACCAGAGGGTCCGGCCGAGCCGGACGGACAGGTCCGGGAACGTGCCTAACCGGGGCTGCTACACAGAAAAACCGCCTACGCGATACGAGATGCTGGCAAATCAGTCCCGGAGGATCCAGCGCACGGAACCTCGGGAATGTCGTGCTGCTAGCTGAAATCCCTCAACATCGACAACCTCCTGGATTTTGACTTCCTTGACCCTCCTCCTCAGGGAGAACATTCTGAACTCTATGTACCAGCTTTGGATCTTAGGAGCGCTGGACAATACCGGGAGCACTGACCAAGACGGGGGAGGCGGATGGTGGAATTTCCTTTAGACCCTGCTCTGGCGAAGCTGTTGATATCCGGGGATCAGTTTGGGGTGTGTGAACGGACGTTGACCATGGTGGCCATGCTCTCGGGTGCCGTCGGTTTTCTTCCGCCCCAAGGACCGCGAAGAGGAGTCTGACGCTGCCCGGGAGAAGTTTTTCGTGCCCGAGAGCGACCACCTGACGCTCCTAAATGTCTTCCAGCAGTGGAAGTCCAACGGGTATCGCGGCGACTGGTGCTCCGACCACTACCTTCACGTGAAAGGCCTGAGGAAAGCCCGGGAGGTGCGAGCCCAACTAGCTGATATCCTCAAGCAGCAGAAGATTCCGCTGTCTAGCGCGGGGCAGGACTGGGATGTGGTGCGGCGGGCGATCTGCAACGGCGTATTTCCACCACGCGGCGAAGCTGAAAGGCGTGGGGGAGTATGCCAGCTGCCGCACCGGCACTCCCTGTCACCTGCACCCCACGAGCGCGCTTTACGGGCTCGGAACGACCCCGGAGTATGTGGTTTACCCATGATTGGTGCTCACGTTCGAAGGAATACATGCAGTGTGTGACGGCTGTTGAGCCAAGATGGGTTTGGCGGAGGCCGGGCCGATGTTTTTCAGTGTGGAAGGATAGTCATCAGAGCAGGCTGCAGCAGAAGCAGAAGCTGCGGGAGGAGGCCGAGTGCGATGGAGCGGGAGATGGCGGAGGCGAGGCGGAAGATGGAGGTGGAGGAGGAGATGAGACGCAGGAAGGACGAGGAGCAGACTGTGAGGGAGGCGGAGCGGATTGTCATGCCGGGTGTGAAGAAGGGGAAAGGGGCGGCGAGGGAACGTGCTCCTGGGCTTTAGTGTGCCTGCCCGTGGCTTAGATGTAGCGAGAGTGGGAGGGGGGGGGGGGGGGGGGGGGGGGGGGGGGGGGGGGGGGGGAGGAGGGGAGGGGAGGAGGGGGAGGTTGGGAACTTGGGGTGGTTTGGAGCTGGAGAGTTTGAGGGAAGGTGTGTGCTGCTGATTGGTGTTTGCGCTGGGAAGGAAGGGTTGAATTTGTAAATGGTGCCTGTCTTCGTACCGTATTACACTACACTGTTCCAGGTTCCAAGTCAGTCAGTTGAAGCGTTTTGTTATTCCCGATATTGTATGCAATCTCGACGTTTCATGAATGCTAGTTTGGGAATGAATACGTTACTGCTGGTACATACAATGGTGAATTCTCTGAAGAGTTGCCTTGCCATGCAGACCAATTCGCAAATGTGAACTTTGAAGTGTTCATTATCGTGAAGGTAATGTTTTGAAAGTGGCCACCTCATTTGCTCACGTCGGTAATTTGTGCATTTTCGGGAGGAATTCTCCTCCCATGCCTTTTAACTCAAGTAATCGCTATTTTGGCGCACAAAACCGGGTCACGAGGTCTGACAATAAGAAGGGCATATGCCACATAGTCATCCTCGATGTTGCCGCAACCCCACATGTTGGCAACCTCTTCGCCTTTCGCGCCGAACAATCCGCACTCGCCATGTTCACCGGAGATCCCTATGCGTGGCCGTCGCGCCGCTCGCCCGTCCTCGGCGACGCGCGGGATGGTCGCGTCGGTCGCAGCCGCTCGCCAGCGAAGCCGGCCTCCGCATTCTGCGGGCCGGCGGCAAACGCGGCGGACGCGGGCGGTCGCCATGGCGGCGGCGCTTGCGGTGTGCGAACCGTGCAGCACCGGCCTAGGTGGGAATCACAGTCGACAATCTTCGATCAGGCGGCAACGCCTTTCCGATCTTCAGCCTCACCCCAATCTGCACCGTCCACACCGCCCACACTGTTCACTATCCCTTACGCGGCCCGTGACTGCAACTGTGGGCGCCTCTTCCTCCTTTCTGCCGCCCCTCAACCCCCGCGCACCCCCGCGACCTCAACACCCCGCGGTACAGGCATCCCGCCCACGTCTTTCCTCCCGCTCACTCACTCTAATCTCCTTCACTCCCCATTCCCACCCTCCCTTCCCCCTTTCCCCTACCCACAAACCCCAGGCGGAGACGCCTTCCTCCTCTTCTATACTCGCGCATCACGCGCACGGTCCACAGTATTCAGGGCAACGGCCGCTGCCCCGCCGCGCTCTCGCTCTCCCACCTCGCCACGCTCGTTTCTCCCCGCGCACACCGCTTCCCCCCTTCCACCCCCTCACGGTCACCGTCCCCGGCGCCGCCGCCTGCTGGGCCGACGCCATCCAACGGTTCGGATCGCGCCACGTGTCGCTCCGCGAGGCGCTCGAGCCGGCCGTACAGCTGGCGGAAGGCGGTTGGCCCGTGCCGTCCGCTGACAGCTGGACAGTGGGAGAGAGGCGTGGAGCAGGTCTGTGCGACGTGGGGCACGGACAGGATTGGCACCCTTTTGCTTCAGAGCATGGGATGATCAATGTTGAGACGTCTCAGAAGATAATTCATTATCAGCATGAAATTGGCATTTTTCTGTGCTGGACACCCTCTGATCCACGTGGCAGTTGAAGCAGGGAGGGCCACATGGCGGCGAGCTATTGGTGGACGGGGAGAGGGCGCCGAGGGCTGGCGAGGTGATGAGGAACCCGGGCATGGGCAACACACTGAGGCTGCTGGGAGGTGCGTTGACTGCTTGAGGTGCGTTGACTGCTGGGAGGTGCGTTGACTGCTGGGAGGTGCGTTGACTGCTGGGAGGTGCGTTGACTGCTGGGAGGTGCGTTGACTTCTGGGAGGTGCGTTGACTTCTGGATGTGCGTTGACTTCTGGGAGGTGGGCGTTGACTTCTGGGAGGTGCGTTGACCTTCTGGGAGGTGGCGTTGACTGCTGGGAGGTGCGTTGACTGCCTGGAGGTGCGTTGACTGCTGGAGTGTCAGTTTGCGCCTTGCGAGTAATGGCCAATGCCGTGCTTTCCGTTTTGGGACATACATTTCCTCCCCGGAATCTTCCTTGCATTCTTCAAAAGGTCCCTCTCCCCCGTTCCTCCACCAGAGCAGGGCAAGGAGGGGCTTCTACACAGGCCCGGTGGCGGAAGCAATAGTCACAGCAGTGGCAGGCCCAGAGGGGACTGCTCTCTCTGCGTGACCTCTCGCTGCAGAGCCTCATACCGTACTTGAGTCCTTCTCTAACGTTCCCTCTACCCCGTCCCCCCATCAGAGAAAGGCAAGGAGGGCTTCTACACAGGCCCAGTAGCCGAAGCGATAGTCACAGCAGTGCAGGCCCAGGGCGGGGTGCTCTCCCTGCAAGACCTGGCCTCCCAAACCTCCTCCGTGGCCCCGCCCATACAGCACCACCTCCACGGCCTCACCATCTGGGAGGTCCCTCCCCCACCGCACGGCCCTGGCCGCTCTCATCGCTCTCAACATCACCGAGGCTTACTACTCCACGCACGGTGTTCCCAAGTCCTGTCCAGGAGGCTCGGGGAGCGGGGCCCCGAAGCTGCGGGGCGAGCTCGGGAGGGGTGGGTCAGGGGGAGGCGGATTATGCGGCATGTGATGATCGAGGCTATGCGGATGCGGGTTTGCAGATGCGCTGGCGTGTGTGGCTGACCCAGAGCACGTGCAGGTGCCTCTGGGGGAGGCTTTATCTAAGGAGTATGCAGCCAAACGAGCTGGGGAGATAGATCTAACACGGGCAGCGATCGTTGAGCCAGGGATTGGGGCGTGGGGAGGAGTGGGGACTGATACGGTGTATTTCTGCGCGGTGGACGGGGAGGGCAACGCGTGCAGCATGATCAACTCAAACTACATGGGCTTTGGCACGGGAATTGTCCCCCAGGGGTGCGGCTTTCCTCTGCAGAACCGCGGGCATAACTTCTCCCTGGATCCCTCCCATCCCAACTGCCTGGCTCCTGGTAAGCGCCCCTACCACACCATCATTCCTGGTCTCGCCACGTGGGGGGTTACCCCCTCTCCCGCAGCAGCAACAGCAGCATCAGCGGCTTCATCGGCAGCAGGAGGAGCAGCAGCAGAGGGAGCAGCAGCAGCAGCAGCGGGAGCATCGGCAGCAGCAGCAGCAGGAGGAGAGAAAGCAGCAGAAGAGTCAAGAGCAGACGAAGGGGTACCAGCAGGGGACCTGCACTGCACGTTCGGGGTTATGGGCGGGTTCATGCAACCCAAGGCCACCTACAGGTGGTAACCAGCCTCGCCCTGCTCTCCCTCAACCCCCAGTCCGCCCTCGACCGCCCCCGCTTCTGCCTCTCTGGCCTCCCCTCCCTCGACCCGCCTGGACACGGACCTGGGCCAGTAAGAGAGAGCCACGTGGCGATTGAGGAGGGGCTGGGAAGGGATGACGTGGCGGAGGAGTTGAGGAGGAGGGGGCATCAGGTGGAGGTGGTGAGGGGGGAGGCGAGGGAGGTGTTTGGGAAGGGGCAGGTGATTGTGAGGGAGAGGGGGAGTGGCGTGCTGTGGGGGGGGTCGGAGGGGCGAGCAGATGGCTGTGCCATGGGTTTCTGAACCAGGGGGAATGGGGACCGGAGGAGGATGTAGGCAAAGGATGGAGAGAGGGAACAGCCTGTGGGGCTCTAATGAGAATTCTCAAACATGAATTTAGACTGCAACGTGCTTTGTGTGGGAGCAGAAGGAAAGGAGAACATGCTAGTTAGGCATGGAGTTCAATTGAACTACTGTGTGCACCTCCCTTTTCCTTGGTATTGTGAGATTCACCGAAATGCTTGAGAAAGTAAAGTGACTGTACTCTGTTGTGTCAATCAATGCCGAGATGAAAGAATAAAAGAATAGACAAGACAACCTTAGTGTGCTAGGGTTTCCCATGTTACCCAGTCGGCTGCTCCCCTGTCCTGCTGCTCCTTCCATCTTGATTGCTGCCACCCACCCACTCATTCTTGTCGATCCTGCTGCCACCCATGAGAGCATTGCAAGACAATGATGACTCAGTGCAGCATCACCATTGTCTTCTGTGCCTCACTGGGAAAGGTGTCATCCTGCTGCCATGGCACACACTGCCATGCGACTAATACTCCTGCTTGTGAGACTAGACCTGCTTGTGAGAAGCACAGAAGACAATGACTTGGCGCAGCAGCTGTCGTGACTCGTCAGTGAGTGCTCCCACACTGTCATGGAACGCCTGCGGTACACCACGCCGCCATGAACGAATGGTGATATAAGGATCGAGAGGGAGAGCGTGAGGCCAATACTTTATCACAGCAAACACTTTGTTAGTGCACATCCTTATCACCACTCGTGATTTCTACAAGCTCTCTAATGGAACTGATTCGTAATAATAGGCTCACCATGAATTGCCGCAGAACAGGAGCCAGCGGGTGGAGGGAGGAGCCTGGCAGCTGGCGGCAGATGGAGTGACAGACAGCCTCGCTGCAGGGGGGAAGAGAGGAAGGAAGGCGGAGGGGACGGGGGGGGGGGAAGGGAGAGGGAAGGGAGGGGAGAGGGGGTTTTGAAGAAAAGGTAGAGATCTGAGGCTGGCCAAACCGGACATAAAAATGCAGTGCAGCGCACGAAACAATGGCACTGAGCGGCCACTATGACGAGGGCGATTATAACGAGGAGGGCACTGTGGGATGTGACGTGATGTGAAAATGTGGAAGGTGGCTACAATGCTAGAGCCTCATACAGCTCGGTCGTGGCCTTGCTCACCTGCCCGGGTCTTGCTCACCTGCCCGGGCCTTGCTCACCTGCCCGGGCCTTGCTCACCTGCCCGGGCCTTGCTCACCTGCCCGGGCCTTGCTCACCTGCCCGGGCCTTGCTCACCTGCCCGGGCCTTGCTCACCTGCCCGGGCCTTGCTCACCTGCCCGGGCCTTGCTCACCTGCCCGGGCCTTGCTCACCTGCCCGGGCCTTGCTCACCTGCCCGGGCCTTGCTCATCTGCCCGGGCCTTGCTCACCTGCCCGGGCCTTGCTCACCTGCCCTGGCCTTGCTCGCCTGCCCTGGCCTTGCTCGCCTGCCCGGGCCTTGCTCATACATACATACATCTTCCATTCGAGTCACCTTGTAGAGACAACTCGGCCTTAGCCTTTGAGATAATTTTTAGAAATCTTGAAAAAATCTCTGAGACACACGCGGCCTTAGCCTGGTGAGTGTGTTTTTCTGGCTTCTCCAAAAGCTCTCTGCGAGGCGCATTGTAGACGTATTTTTCGAACCACAGCAACATGCCACACACACACCAGCACGCCACCACACCAAACACACACACCTGTGCTGCGCCAGCAATCCGAGCAGCAGAGCAGCATGTGACTCCATGATCAGCTGCTCCGCCTCCACTGCCCCCTCCACCATCATCGACATCACCATCTCGCCGACCCCATCTCCTCCCCCATGGCCTTCCCCATCTCCTCCTTTCCAGTCCCCACACCTCCCATCGTTTCCCCCTGCAGCACCATCTCGCCCTGCCCCAGCACGCTCATCTGCAGCTCCTCCACCTCCCGCTCCGCCAGTCGCCTCTGCTCCGCCATTCCCATCTCTTCTGCACCTCACTCCCTCTCACCACCGCCGTGCTCCTTTCCTCGTGGCTGGAGCGCTCCGAAATCTGACATTTGGCAGCGAAATCCTGCCTCTCCTTTTGCTGCTGCTGCTGCTGCTGCTGCTGCTGCTGGCTGCTGCTGCTGCTGCTGCTGCTGCTGCTGCTGCTGCTGCTGCTGCTGCAGTGCTGCTGCTTCTTTTGCTGCTCGGAGCTTTTTTGGCGAGATGCAAAGATGGCGCACAGGAGGGACACCATCGACACGCTCTCCTCTGCCCTCCCTGCCTGCTCTTGCCCACGGCTCCCACTGCTGGTGGCACTGTGCTGCTGCATGCTGTCTCCATGGGCCTTGTGCTGCTGGGTGCTGTATTTGCTGTAGTCTCTGGCTCTGTGCTGCTTGGAGTGCAGCTGGCCCTGCTTTCGCCTCGTGCAAGTGGCTGCTGCCAGTAGGGATCTGCGGAACAGTTGTTGTGGGTGGGATGACGCACACAAACGGAACATATGCATAGAAGCACACACACAGGACAATCAGCAGCAGAAGCAGCCTACCCGGTGCCATGGCACCCTGAGCTTCCGTCAGATGGACCATGCAAACACAAGGACCACAGTACATGCACATGCACATGAACATGCACATGCATATGCACATGCACATGAACATGCACATGCACATGAACATGCACATGCATATGCACATGCACATGCACATGGCAAGCACACGTATGTGCATGGTAGATGCATGCTTCCGCTGTTGTCACTTGTCAGTGTCAGCATCACCTCATCAAATGAAGCACCCATACCAGGCATCACTATCACCCTCCACAAGGCTAACACAACACCCACCAGCACCACCCGCACCGCACGGGCGCATGCACATATAGGGGCACTACACCCGTTTCTGGAATTGCACCAAGTGTGCTGAGTCGATTTTTGAGTCGACTCAAAAAGCGCATGCACATATAGGCGCACTACACCCGTTTCTGGAATTGCACCAAACCAGCATTCCCAGCCTCTGCCGTACCTGGCGTCACTATCAGCTTCCACGAGGTTGACCATCAAACCCAGAAGCACCACCAGCATGAGTGCATACACATATAGGGGCTTCACGCCCATCTCCGCTACTGCACCCAGCATTCTCAGCACCCTGAACTCATCACACAAATCTGCAGTATGCCATACCTGGCGTCACTATCAGCTTCCACTAGGTTGACAATCAGACCCAGCAGCACCACCAGGACAAGTGCACGCACACATAGGGGCAACATTACACCCTAAACCCTGAAGTTTTTGCCATTGCACCCACCCAGCATTCTCAGCAACACCATACCTGGCGTCACTATCAGCTTCCACCAGGTTGACGATCAGGCCCAGCAGCACCACCAACACGTCACCATCTCCCTCCCAACGCCCACCATCCCCGCCCAACATTTACAGCATAAACGCACCACATAAAGTACCCAGACATACCTGGCGTCACCATCAGCTTCCACCAGGTTGACTATCAGGCCCAGCAGCACCACCAGCACGTCACCATCTCCTTCCCAGTGCCCACCTTCCCCGCTCCCTGCACCCTCCCTTTCCCGTCCCTCACAAGTCCTTTCAGCTTTATCACACTCCCCCCTGTCATCCCCTCCCCCATTAATTGCCCCTTTCCCCCTCCCCTGCACTCCATCGTCCAACCCACATGCTCCAGCTGTCACTGCCTCAGTTCCCTCGGACCCATAGCCCGTGCGAACTGTCGAAGCTGCTGCTGAAGCTGCTGTTGAAGCTGCTGCCGAAGCTGCTGCCGAAGCTGCTGCCGAAGCTGCTGCCGAAGCTGCTGCCGGAGCTGCTGCCAGAGCTGGCTCTCCTGCAGCCAGAGACGGGCCCCAGCAGATGCCAGGGCATGCTGCCAGCAGAGGTCAGAGCAGCAGGCTGCAGCCAGAGACGCCACCACAGCGCGATCCCATGCGCCCCTGCCACCGCTCTGCACCCCTCTGCACTGTGGTTGGTGACGTTCATGAGCACCTTGCATGCTGCCAGCACAAACCGCCGGCCTGCCCTTGACCGCACTGACAGCCTCTCTTTCACATCTCCACCACCATCACCATCACCATCACTATCACTATCACTATCGCCACCACCACCAATGCAGCCACCCTGTCTCCTGTTGCAAGCACCATTTCTGGAACCATTCCTTGTAGACAAACTGTTCTGGTGATCCTTCTCGCCCTCCCCATGCCTCCTTTGCCTCTTCTCCTCCCATTTCTTCTTGCCGTGAGCCCTCCTGTTTTGCGACCTCCCATTTTGTTCCCTCCTATGTTGCACCTTCCTCGCATTCCCCCCCACGCATGCATGCCTACAAAATCCACCACCCTCACCATCACTCCCACTGCTCCATCCCTCCACCCTCCTCCCCCAGCCTTATCCCCGACCCACACACACCACCCCCCCCCTTCCCACACCCCTCCCCTCCCCCCATCCCCCCCCCATCCCCCCCCAACAACTGCACCTCCCACACTAATAGCTCCTCCTCCACTTGTGAGTCCATGAGAAACTCATATGGATCCTTCAACACTCCCACACTCCTCCCCAGCCGTCCATCACCGCCCTCTCTCACCCCTGAACCGCCCCAATCGCACCACTCGCTCGACCGTGCCTTCCCCTGCCACTCAACCCAGATTCCTCCCACCCCCCTCATCAGAGCCCTCCTGCTCCTCCCCTACCGCCTCGCCCAATACAATTGCTCCTCCTCTACCGACAGCACCACAGCGAGTCCCGACAGCACCACAGCGAGTCCCTACTGCACCACAGCGATCCTTGCAGATTCCCACCCTCCCTCTTCCCCATCCTCCTCCCCTTCCCCCTCCTTCTCCTGGTCCTCTTCTGTTGCCGACACATCTTTCCCCAGCACCACAGCACCATGCCTGACCTCCATGAGATGAGCACCATTCTTGCAATATCGCCATCCCTCCTCATCAGAATCCCCCTCCACTGCCTCTCCCAGCATTACGCCCTGCTCTTTCTTGCACAACATCCTTCACAGCACTACGCCTTGCGCCCGAAGTGTAAGACGCCTTTCCCTGCTGCCCCTTATCAACGCTGCTGCTCTTCCCTGCACCTGCCCTCCCTGCAGCACTAACTGCAACCCTCCCTGCAATCTTCCCTGAAACCCTCCCTGTACCCTCCTCCTCCCATGGGTCAAAGGAAAACGGGTCTGCGGATGCCCTCTCCTTGCCACCTGCCTGGACCCCTCTCCTCCCCCCCCAGACTTCCCCTTTGCAGCCACCCCACACACTCTCTTCCTCCTATTTCGCCCACTTCCCTTCTCGTCCTCCCCACTCCCCTCTTCGCCCTCCTCACTCCCCTCCTCTCGCCCCAAGTCCAGAGGCACAGCATCGCCCAGAATAACCTTTCCCCACCCCTGGCCCCCACTGTCCCTCCCACTGCTCTACCCTCATCCCCCTCGGAATCTGTTCCTGAAGAGCTAGCGCTCTCCTTGCCCCTTGAGCCATGAACGGCCCCACCACCTGAAAGAGGGGACGTGGGTCGAAGCGGGAAAGTGGATTCGGAAAAGGGGGGACGGGAAGGGCGAAAGGTGGTTAAGAAGGGGGGGTACGGGGTTGGAAAACGGGGGAAGGCGGAGAAGAGGAGTAAAGAAAGAGCCAGCTTGCACAGCACGAAGGAGGGAAAAAAAAAAAACAAAAACAAAAACTCGAGTCTTAAAGAAGAGAAGGCATCAAAATGCCGGTTATTGCGCAGCAGCAGTGAGTTCACCTGCAAGGCGTTCCAGGCACTCCAACAGGAGAGCAAGAAATGGCCGCTCACTGCTGCTGACTCCCCTCCCTTCCCCTAGAACCCCACTCGAGGCCACTGTGGCCACGAGGGGCACGGCAGCGGCAGAGGCGGTGCGGCAGCCGGACAACTTTCTTCGCTTTGCTCCAGGTAGAGTGTCAGTGGGCAAGGAGAGGTGGATGAGATAGTCCTGGTGGGCGAGGGGATACATGGATGGAGGTAAGTAGAAATGGGCTCATTATTTAGTCAGCACAATTAGCAACTCCAGGGAGAATGTCAGTGAGCAAGGAGAGAGTCTGGTGGGGCAAAGACAAATGTTGAACAACGTTGAGATTGTATCACTAAATGGGAGGAGGGGGGATGGGGGGGGGGGGGGGGGGGG